GCCCTTGTTTTTGTCGCGCGTTTGTTTGCGTTTTTTTTCGGTTTCTTTTATGGCATGATGTTGAACTGATCGGGAGCGGGGGAAAAAGGGGGGTCCTATCGTCGCCGATGTGTTTTCCTTTCCTCTGTTTGCCTTTCTCTCCGTGTTTTCCTTGTCATTTCCGTCCCTCGTGCTCCACCGAAATGTGCTTTCGTTCCTCTATCAATTCCTTTCGTCGGGCCATGATGGTGCTCTGGACACGGTCCTGGAGCTGGGCCTGGCGGGCTGGCCTGCCCCACGCCGCTGGCCCGCTGCTGGCCCTCTGCCTGCCGGCACGGACCCAAGTCGCCCCGCCGGCCCTTGGTAGCGTAGCGGGTGGCCCTAGCCGCCCTGGCGGCCCGCAGGGCGGCCCGTGGCCCTTGCTCGGGGGCAGGGGGCACCCACGGGGCAGCCGCGGGGCTCGCAGGGCTCGCCTATCAATCCACGTCGTGTCGAGCCAAGCCAGGGCCAGGGCAAGCCAGGGCAAGCGAGGCCCCACCCCTTGGCTTTCTCCCGCCAGGTTCCTTACGCAGACTATTGTGTGCGTTTTTTTCCTGTGTGTGATTTTTTTTCGTTTCCCGTCGGAGTGGCTGACCTGCCTCCCCCCGCCCACCCAAGGTCGCGGCGAGGGGGTGGGGCGGGCAGCGCGCCAGCCGCAATGGCTCACTTTGTCGCTCTGTCTCTCTCGCACTCTTACCGGTCGGCCCACGAGTGCGACAGAGACAGGCCGATGGAACGACTCTTCGAAACCGCTGGGCTGCGCCCTCGGCTGCGCCCGGCCTGGCCGCCAGGCAGTCTGCAACGCGAGGCGACTGGTGCGAGCGCCGCCCAGCGCCGCCATCGGGGTGATGTGTGGCGCTTGCCCCTTTGCTTTCCCCCCTTTTGCTCTTTTTGGCCTTTTTGCCGGTGGAGGGTCGCGTTGTCCCGTTATTGTAGCGCTCAGAGGATTCTCTTTCACCGCTTAAACACGTGACGGGGCTCACCTTTCGGTTTTATTCCGGAAATGATAAAGGGGACTGGAAAACCGGGAGCGTCTCGCGGCAGCGCGTTTGTCCGGTCTAGGGGATGAGGATAGGGTGGGGGAGCGGAGGGAAAGATTACTCCCGTTTGTGCGTCCTTTATGCGTCCAGTAATGGGAGCACTGTGCTTTTCATCGGCCGTTCAGCCCCCTTGCCTCTTTACGGCGGCCTGTTCTCATTTTGTAGTTGTTGTTTATTTTTTACGTCGCTTGTCGTCCGATTTTGTGGCCCGCCCTTTATGAAGGCAGCAGGGCGGCATGACAATGGTCTTGCTGGGGGCGTGGCGCGGCGTGGCGTGCCGGCGATTAAGACGTTCTTCCGGGTCCTTAAGTCGCGGCCTGGCCGTGGCGAGCCTGGCCGTGCCGCATCCAGCCCCCGGCACCGTCGCCCAGCGGCCTGACTCCGAACAGCGCCCTCGTCCGCTATGCCTTTCTCGCACTCGCGACGCTTCCTGAAAGAGTGCGAGAGAGACAGAATGGAGCTGCAGATAAAGAGACCGGATTGCTGTTTGGGGAATGATTGGGCTTCGCGCTGCGCGGACTGACTTCCAAAGAGTCAGTCGGGGAATGAGCCCCTTTTCAATGGCCTTTGGTTCCCTCGCGTCCCATTTAGGCCGGTCTGGCCGAGGCCTGGCTTCACCTCGGCCGCGAGCAAGCCAGCTTTGCCAGTGCCGCAGTGAGTACGGCCCCCGAGCGAGTGGCGCGCACTGTTGTCACGTTTGCTCCGGGCGAGAATGACAGGCGGGTATTGATTGGCGTCCCTTCATTAACAGTTTGTCGGTCTGTTTCACAAGTTTGAAGGGCTTGCCCAAAAAGAATGGTGCGTGCGTGTCGACCGGACGCACCGCGGCGTACTCTCGTCACGTACCGCACGCACGCCCGGGTCGATGCGGGCCGCGCTGCCGCGTTGTCCGCCGAACCATGCTGGCGGCCACAATGCCCGGCCCGGCCCCCGCCCGCCAGAGCTGCCAGGACTATAAAACATGAAAAGTGCGAATGCGTCGAATATGTTTGCCGCTGATGGATGGACAGCGCGCTGTTTGGGCGTTGCCACGCACACTTGCGTTTTCCTTTCGCTGCTTCGCAGCCACCTGTTGATTCGCGCGGATCCGCGATCCACGCTGTCATCTCTTTTTATATGCTCCGTCGCGCCGCGCGGCACGCGGTCGCACGCGTGCGCGTATTTATCCAACAGCAGATTGAAGTTTACGTTGCGTGTGTGGGGGGCGGGGCGGGTGCCTAGGATTTGCACCGCATGAATAAAAGATCGAGTTGATTGCCGTGGAATTGGCAAAACGGACGGACACTGGAAAAGTAGAATAAATTCACTTTCTTTTTAAAATGAAGAAAAAAGACAGACAAAATAAAACGTTCCTTTTATCCTCCCCCCTGCTTCCCTTTCGTGCCTGATTTTTGACAGTTCTTTTTATTCGTCTCCTCTATTTTTGGCCGTGCACCTCGCCAAGATTAGCGACACTGCTGCTGCAGATGCACTTACATGGCGGCTGACACGTGACCCCCCGCGGGACCCCTGATGGGTGGCTCTGTGGGGACTCGGGGCCTGAGCGATGGCCTCACCCCTTTGCATTAACCTGTGTCCACGGCGACCCCTCGGGCCGCCCGGCCGTGCCGCCCGGCCAGGCGGGGCAGTCGGGGCAGGCAGCCCCAGGCCCCCGGGCTCCTCCCCCATGAACCACAAGTCCCCATTGTCGGCGTGACGCGACACACACCAGCGCCACGGGGGTGGGGGCGGACGCGGGGCGGTCGGGGAGCAGGAAGGGAGGGGAGGAAGGGGGTAATTGGAAGGGGTGATTATCAGCGCTGCCGCTCCATGGCGACTCAACCACGCGTGAGGTTGTTGTTATCCTCTCGTGGTTTGATTTCACGCTCGGTTGTGATTTTGTTCTCCGCGCACTTGAATGGCTGAACGTGGTGGATCACGGACAACGCCCCCAACATTGTCCACCTGCAAATCGTGGTGTGCAACTGTGTTGCGAATTGTTTCTTTTTGGCGCATGATTGTCCACCACTGCGGTGTGGTGCGCGTCTATCGTTCCCAATGCTGCATCTCATCTCGCACCGCCATGTAGGCCAGCGGGCCGTTACAAGGTCGCCCTGACCCTGCCGCACCCTTGGCCGCACTGCCCCAGGGTCGGGGGGCTGCGGGGACTAACCCAGTTGTGGCCCCATTTTCATTCTTTTTACTCGCGGCCCCTAGTCAGCGGGTAGGGCCTTGATTGGCTCTGAGAGGCATTAGGGCGGCTGGCTTTGCGACGACGGATACTTGGTGAGTCTGGGCGAGTAGTGCTGCCGCAGGTCCGTGCGGTCGGGCGGGGTCGCTTGGCTGGCCTCTTGGCTGGCCTCTTGGCTCGGCTGGGCACGCCACCAGTGGCTCCAGGGAAATCTGGCGACGCTGTAAGTCTGGCTGCCCTGCCCGGCCCTGCAGCACGTGACACGCGACTGCGACACCACAACTAATTGCCAAGATGACTCTGTCTACACGCACTAGGCAACGCAACAGATTTCCTGTGTCGCGTTTTGCTCTGCCAAAAATAATCGACCGCTGAAACTCTTTTTTTGCCCACTTGTTTGCTGGTTGTGGCGTGTCTGTGTCAATTGGGACTGCTTTGGAGCCGCGTTCGTGTTTTGCATGCGCAAGCCGCGGCAAGCCGTGTGGAGCGTCCCCCTGCGGTCGGGTCCCGCAAAGCCGTGAAAAGCCCGACTCTTTTGTGCGACTGTGCGTCTGCTCTACTTGGGTGCGTCCATTCAAATCAAGTGGCGCTCGGCCGCTGGACGCTACGCTGCTCGGCTCGCGTAATCCGCCAGAATCTGATTGGGTTCCATTCAAGCCGCGTTTGTGCGGTCAAAAAACCAGGTCTAAAAATTTAGGAAAGCAGGTGTGATGTCTCGCAATATTTAAGCGATCCCAGGTGTTTCAGCAAGGCAATAAAATAAGATTGTTTTTGTGTTGCTGCGCAGAAAAAGCGAGGCTAGGATTTCATTCTTTCGCCCCAATGATTTACCCGCTGGGATGGACGGTTTCATTTCCCGGAGGCAAAGTACGAGGGAGTTCCCCGCCATCCTTCCGAGGTGGCCTAATAAAGCTGTCCGCGCTCCGCCGCTCCCACCCCGCTCTTGGCACCTTTCTACGACTGCTATCCGAACTCCTGTCTGAAGCCCCACTGGAATGCCAGGAATGCGTGGATTTGCTCTCCCACTTTGATGGGTCCTGTGAGGGAGGCGGGCCGCACGTTCGAATTCCGCTTTTGTCAGAGCGGTTTGTCAGCGGCAGCCAAACAAAGTCGGCACTTGGCGCGGGAATAATTAAAAAGTATAATCAAGGAGACCGTCTCCGCGATAACAGTCCACCTCGTGGCCCAGGCCCAGGGTAACAAGATAAAGGTGAAAGCCCGTGGGGGTGGGGGTGATTCAGGGCGGCAAAAGGGCACCGCGCGGAACGGCTGCTGCAGTAAAGGAAGTGGAGAAACCAGTCAACGGAAGAGGGTAAACAGAGAGAGAATTTTGCCTCAGGGGGACTTTTGCGAGCTCAGCAACAACAAATCCGCTCCGAGAACACTCTATCTACGTGTGCAAAAGTAAAAAAGCGTGCTGGTTAGACAAGAATACTTTTAAAGGGATGTTTTGCTTGTTTATTTTTATATACCTATCCATGTAGAAAGGGGTTGATCTGGCACATTCGGCATGAGAAATTAACTAAAAAGCTATTTCCTCCTGTCTACAGAAAAGCGTTCCGATTAGGTATTCCATTTGATTTGAGAGAAGAGGGATGCTAGTCCTTTGTGCTGCAGTTTTCATTTGATATTTAGGTTGTGGATATCGTCGCTATCTGTTTTATTTCCATGTCAAACAGAATTATGGATTGTAGGATTAGCAAACGCACCGGTCGGCTTATGTGCCTTTGCTACAATTACCTTACTAATCCGTTCTATTTTGTTTGTTGCAGGGCTGTTCCGGCAATGGAAGGCTTAGAAGAGTGTCAGAAGTTTCCAAATGGGGGTCCAGTCGCGCGGCCAATCTGGGCCTCCCCAAACGCTAGCAGCACGCCGCACCCAGCAATCAGGAATTGCTACACCTACCAACCCCGCTCAGCGCCCACCTGATGCAGCATGGATCCTGCGCGCACCAGCGGAGGGGAAGGGGCTTCCTCAGGGGTTCCTCATGGGGGTCCCCTAGGGGGTCCCCATGGGGCTTCCCTTGGGGCCCCCCTTGGGGCACCCTCTCCCAGCGGAGGTGGAGCAGCAGCAGGCGGAGGAGGAGGAAGTCTGGCCGGGCTAGGTACCTCGGGAGCGATGACGGGTGTGGCTTTGTATGGAGCGGCAGCCGTGGCAGGAGAAAGAGGTGCCGGCATTTCCCTTTCACCGTCTCCACCTCCAGAGGGGTCGGACGTGGTGCTAGGCGACTTTATGCAACGGCTGGGTACCCGTCTAAACCTGCTAGAGAGCGAGCTTAAGTATGCTTGGCGGGCTCTCGACCTTCTATCGCATGAGTACATTCGCATGTGGACTCGCCTGGAGAAACTGGAGGCGCTGCTCTACGAGCAGCAAAACGTCATCGGCCAGTTGCTTGAGTTCTACTCTTCCGTTGAAGCTGGAGACCCTGCCACACACCGCCTCCCGCTGGACAACGCCCGAAGAGCTTTACAGGCGATAGCTGATGCACGCATGGGGGGTTTCGACAAACAAAAGGCCATCGAAGCCGGGGAAGCTGCAGCCGCGGCTGGGACGGCAGTTATTGACACCTTAGTAGATGAAATATATGGACTGCCCGGAGAAGCGTTTTATCGTAGCCTTAACACAGCTTTCCGAGAAGACTTGATTCACACAGCAAATACGCCTCTTCAAAGCAGTCAATTGGGCATGATTTGGGAAGAGTCGGAAGAAATTGATGATGCAATCGGAAAGAAAGATGAAGGGCGAGACATATCTAGCCTTATTAAGGAACTTGTTGATGTACCTGAAGTGTATAGTGCCTTGGACTACAAGGATTACCGTGGAAATTCTCCCTGTGTTAGTGAGCACGATCTAGCTCAGCTATCTCAGTTAAGCGCTATTGACCAGAACGCTCTTGAAAAACTTCAGGAATTAGATCGGCTGACATGCAAACTTCAGCGGGACTCGGCGAGCTTAAAAGAACTAAAAAGCCGTTTATTAGAATCTCCCCGCAAAACAAGAGGCACATTGTCCAGCAAGTCTTTAGAACCAGACGAAGCGCAAGCGGAGCCCTGGGCACTAAGCTCTTCCTCCCGGGAGGACAGTTATTTACTTTCTAGTGCAACACCAAGTACATCTGGCTACAAATCTAGAACAACTTCTCTTTTAGAAATAGGCACTGGTGACACTGATCTTGCCTCGTCGTTAGCTAGCTTTACCGGTACCGCATCACCTGGGTCTACCTCCCCGAGGCATAGATCACTTTTGGATTCATCGTCATCTCCATACGGTACTTCATCAAAACCTTATGGAAGCTCTATTCTGCACGGTGATTTAACGGCCTCGTGTTCGTCCCTTGGCAATAAGACTGCAACTGAATTTAACACCGCTTCTACACACACAACCTCAGCGGACTCAAGCACAAATTCGTCCAGATTATTAGACCCTGTTTCGAGTTCAAAACTCTCGGGCAGCGCCTCATCAACTCGAGTAGCGGAAGGTGTTTCAATGACGAGATTGTCTGAAGGTCTCCCGTCATCTCGATTGTCTGAAGTCATATCATCACCAAGACTAGGAGACAGTCTCCCTTCAACTAGGTATACTGAAAGTTTATTTTCAAGTTCAAGAGAGCGCGTTACTTCTCCAACGCCCTCTGCTTCTAGTGTAAGAACTAGAAAAGATGGTTACATAGATAGTGGTAGAATAGATTCTGATCTGTCAGAGAGTTTAGTTGGCCCCTTTGATGCTTCCTCTAGCCCCCCGCCGCCAGCCCCTAATGATAATGACAGACTTAACAGAAGAAGCTATGAAGTTACGACTGATGACAGTGCAGTGATTGAAAGATTAATACAAGAAGAGCAACAGAAACAAGAAGCTGAAAGAAACACACTCAGCGCCAGTTTGGCACAACAACCCGGAAGACTGAGTCCCCATACACCACGTTCGCCTAAGTCCCCAAGACTGTCACCAAAGCACCACGTATCTAAATCGTCTTCATCAAATATCATAGCTGCGAAGTCTGATTCAGGTTTGTCTTCCATGAGTGGGTGGTCAAGCTTGGAAAAGTCGCCAGGATCACCTAAAAATAGCATATGTGGAACTAACAAAACGTTACTACCTACATACGATAATGCATGCCTTGAACGGGAGACTCAGCAGTTGCAGCTAGACGCTGCTTTAGCTAGCAGTTCAATGCACACATCTCCTCGAAGATCTCCTTTGCCGCCATACGGAGATCAACATTCAGGGTTATTGCCGGGTGGGCATCATGTATCTGCCTTTACAACCGTTGGGGCAGGGATCTCACTTGAAGAATCCAGTAGACTGTCAAATATTGATCTTTCCTCCTTAGGATTTGTACCAGCACCTGCACCTATGGCTGATTTATCAGCAAGCCCGAGCAAATCTCGCGGGTCATACTCTCAGTCATATTATTCGTCAAAGTCGGGCACTGCATCAGGGTATAGTGAACTGCCGTACAGTATGGACCAGTCAGCACTGTATAGCGTGGCAGGAGGAAGCAGGCAACCATCATATTCGTCTTTGTATTCAAGCAGCACGTCTTTTATATCAAAAACAGCTCTGGAATATCCTGATCTAATAAGGCCACTTTCCGGAAGCCAGGCTCACAGCAGCTCGTCTTACTCTGTTTTCAAGCCAGAACCAGAATTGCACCTCTCAACAATAAACAGTGGATTTCCCACTCCCACAAGATCTCCCTTAGGCAACAGAGAAAAACGTACAAGACTTTCTCGTGTTCATTCAACTGGCTCCGTCCCACCAGCGGGACTCCCGCAAAATATGATTGGGGGTGTAGCAAATTTGGAAGCTTACAAGACAGCAATGTATAGAACCATGTTTCCTACTGGAAATATAACAGATGCTCTCTCATATTACCCGACTAATGTTTCTAGAAACGAAAGGTTGGCTTCTTCATATCGTGACGGCCAATGGATGAGCAGATCAATTGATGGTACGGCTGAAAACCTTTCATATGATCCTAGCATGGCATCTATTAGTTCTAACGATACAAGTACCGGCACAATAAGTTATTCGTCAGGCCATACAACAAGTGCTGCCCGATCTGACCGAATACCAAAATATTCTTCAACCCCCATGGCCCAAGCATATAGATCACAAGCCAGTTCAAGTTCCTCCACAGAATATCAACAAAGAAGACCTGCGTCAGAAATGGACTTAAGATATAGAAATACTCTTGAGGATTACGAACCTGGGACATACAGACAGCCTGATGATGAGAGGCACTACAATCAAAGTGGAGTTATTGTCTCCCAATCTGGGTACTTGTCCTTTGCAGCAGACAGCAGAAGAGAAGTACAGTATCAACAAGTAGAACCTTCAGAAAGACCTCCAAAGAAACCGCGCAGAACTGGCAGTTTGAAACAGGCTATGAGCTCAGTTAGTCAATGGTTACCAGATTTGAAAGATCTGAATGTATTGTCGAAAAGACACCGATCGAACTCTCTTCCATCTGGCGTGCACACTGATGATACTAAAGTACCAAAAGACAAAGATTATATGCGCTACTTTACGTTGTCAAGGGGGAGACACGGTGAGCAAGACGGAGGGAGTAGGAAAAAGAAGAGACACCCCCTTGTTTCTACAATGTCAGGCTTTATACAACGCGCCAAAAAAAGAGGTCCATTTTTAAGACATTCTCTATCAGACACTGAAACAGAGCCAAACGAACCTGAGTGGTCCACCCCCAAAACCATGAGAAGTCAGCGGAGCGTGGGAGCCGGTTCGGATGGCGAAGATGGTTCTTTTGAGCATGGTTTTGACCGGGTTGTTTTTGACCGCGTCCCTCTTAGAACCAGTATCCGGAAGCGGGATTCCATATCATCCTTAGAAACAAGAAGACTGGATGACGATGACTTTGCAGCAGACAACAGATCTCAGTATAGAGAATATCAGTCTGTGGACCAAGGTCAAGAATCATACAGCCGGAACAGAGAGGACAGTACTGACATATCATCCCTCTTTGCTACGGTTGGAGATGTTAAGAAAACTACGCCCAGCAACGGTTCTGAGTGTGAAGGAAATTCACAGCAAGAAAACATACAGATTCCTCCAATAACAATACCAGCAGCAAACCGTGAGTTTGCAGCATCACGAGCATTAGGAAAGTACAGGCAGCGACAGAGCAGTAATAGTGTTAGTGAAGCAATGTCTGAAGGTTCTGATGAAAAGACTGACGAGGGTCCGAGCCCTAGGACGAGCAGACACGTTGACAATGACATTGTACCAAAAATAAGCGAGGATGACTCTGCTATTTTTGAAGAAAAAGAGAAAAAAATTATTGAAGAACCAACAATCATTGTCCCACAGCCGTCTCTAGGGCCTCTTCCTATAATTGAATCGGAACCACCACCGCCACCGCCGAGGCTTGATTCTCAAATGCAAGCAACAGGTATCTTTCAAGCCCCGTCTCCTCTGCCATCTGTCGTACCTACACCAACACCCTCACCTCTACCAGAAATGCCAGAGAAGCTGGAGAGTAGTCCAAGCCCATCAATGCATAGAGGTCAAGCTCCAGGCAGACATTTTCCGCCGCGACATCAGCAAAGCTTAGAAATTCCCTCATTAAGTAGAGGAGGTGGTTCACTCGAAGACGATGACAACAGAAGCACCCACTCTTGGAGAAGCACGTCACGAGTTTCATCTCGCAGGCAAAGCACGGAAGATAGCATTGATAGTGAGGACGAATGGTATTGGTATGAGCTACGAAAACTGGAAGAAATGGAAAGACAGTCCCATTTAGACCACACGGATCGCGATGAAGCGTTGCCGATACTTCCCACACAGTACGAACAAGAAGACGACGCAAAGCAACAAATGTCCGTTGTTCTTCAGGAGCTTCGTCTTAAAGTGAAGGCAACGCCACCAATTGAAGAATTAACTGCACAACAAGCGCAACGATTTGGGGGTGTTGGCGAAAGCTTAGAAGAAGAAACACAGCCAGACACGAAGTTAAGCGAGGAAATTATTAAATCTGGTGAACGCCTATTGGAACGTGGTGATGAAGAGCACTCGTCTGGAGAAACGAGTGGGCCAGACAGCCCCCAACAGACTGATATTGAAGACGATTCTGACGCGGCCGCGGCGGAGGAAGAGGAAATAGCAAGGTCAAGGAGAAGTTCCAGTGGTTCCACGTTACGACAACAACACATGCAAGGCTCTGACTCACTAAGCCGAGATGGCTCACTAAGTGTCGGTCCATCGGAACGTTCAATGTCTGTGCAAGGTGATTCAGAAGAGACTGCAACCCTAAGAGAGGGCTCGCGATCAGCAAGCGTGGGCCAGAGCGACGAGGGAGACAGAAGAGGTTCTACAGCGACGACAACATCTGCAGGAGCAAAACTGCGATTTGGCGAATCTGACAGCTTTTCCTCGTCCAAAGAAGAAGGGTCGAAGTGGAAGCTTCTCAAAGCTCTCAAAGAAAGAAAGGCGGAAGAAAAAACTGCACAAGAGGAAAAAGCTGCAGCCGCAGCGGCCGCAAAAGAGGTGAGACCTCACCTGTTAAATAGAAATTGCAATAAAAGATATTTGTGCTTAAATTTTATATAATCACTCTGTACTTTTGTTGAGTTTCAGCGTGTTCCTCAGGTATCGAGATAAAAGTTCTGACATGTTTTTTCTGTCAGAAATATTGTATATTTTTAATTTTTATCACCGAATAAAAGCTTTTCCTCATATTTTGTTTAAAGTTTATTCACAAGCCAAAGAGAGAAACGAAATCGTCTTAAAAATGGATAAGGCTTTGTTTCGTTTTTGTCTTTGGTAAAGATGTTTTAAGTTTAATCTTTATAAACCTTCATTTTTTTGACTTTGTTTGATGTTTCGTTACAGAATGGAACCGGCGGGGAGAGCAATCGGACCAGTGGGTAAGTAAAACGCCTTACTGGTTGTTTTCTTTTGTTCTGTTTAGTATGACAACCCGTGTGATACATTTCTCGATTCATCTTCTTTCTAGGCATCCGGGAGACAACCCATTCTACAGCAATATCGACAGTATGCCGGACATCAGACCCAGAAGAAAATCGATTCCACTTGTATCCGAGCTTGTGAGTAATCCATTTATTTTCCACCCTTTGTATGCTGTTCAGTATCATTAGAACCTTGATCGACGTTGAAACTGCGGCGCAATCTCTCTGGCGGTAAAATCAAAAGGAAGTTCTTTCCGAAACTGTTGGTTATTATGGGGTAGCATCCAGTGTTGCATGCTTGGCACAGTTCCAACGGAATGTTGCTCTTGTTTGGAAGTGAAAGGAAAGGGGAACGCCTTTTTTACCCTCTAAACTTATTCTAAAGCGCTCCTCGTAACAAAGGCGCATTCTACCCATAAAATTTAGTTTCTGGGCAATTGTTAACCTTGCCGTGGAGACGCGGCCGTTCAGTTGCTACTCCATCCTCCCCTCCATCATCAATGATTCTTGTCACGTGTGTGCTAATGGCACGTACCGTTGTAAAAAAATTAATTCCCTGTCAACTTTTAAAACTAATGAGAGAACATATATTTAGGCAGTGTTTTATGCCATTGCTACTTTGTGACACTGCCTTGCAGCTAACGTGGCTATAAACTATTCTGCAGACGTTTATTTGGCCTCAATTATTAACGTAAAGTTATTGCGCCGCAGCTTGCTCTTGTGGTAAAGGGAGGTTGGGACTTTCCCACGTTTTCGTTGCATGATGGTTTTCCTCAGTCTCATGCGTGTTTCCTTACTGTCTCTTTCCATGCTGTCCGTCTTTCTTCAACGGATAGGTGCTCAAGGTAAGCTTTCATTACTGTTCTATGTTTGAACGCGATGTCTCAAATAATTCCTGGTCTTTTTATTTCGCTCTGCATGTCTCTCATACTTGTTTATGTTGCATTTTCTTTCGCAACGCACAGTCGCGCGAAAGACGTCCCCTCTTCACCCGTATTCCCGATTCCGTTTCTAGTTCCCGTTTTCATGGCGTGCTTGTTGGTTTGGCCTTTGGCTGGACCGCAGCCGAGTCTAGTCGAGGTGGATAGAAGACGGCGCGGCTGGCCTTGTCTCGCCTCGAGCCGCCCTTGTGTTGGTAGAATGCCAATGGCGTCGTTGGTACACCGCGCACCTTCTGTGCTCCGTTCCAATAACTCCCTCACTGCGGTCTTTGGCCTTCGCTGGCGCTGCTGGCGCCTTCGTTGGGCTGCCGGATCTTTCCTTCCATGGCACCAACAGGTACCCTAACGGGACCTCAGAGGCACTCTACTGCGCCTTGGCCGTGCCTTGGGCGGGTTCCGTCCCCCACCCTTTCTGGCGTGCCTGCCGGAAATTGCATGCCTTCTTTCCTCCCCTCTGTGTCCAGCCCGTCCACGTTCCAGCGAGGCGTGGTCGAGGCGAGGCATGGACTCGGCCAAGGTCGAGTGGGTACGGCCGCCGAATCGACCGAATCATTAGCATCCCACTTTTCTGAATAAAACGATAAGCGTCCCGTTTTATTGCGAGAGGATAGCAAGAGGGGCGGGGGGAGTTGCGTGGCGGCCACTCCAAACTCTTGAGACAGGTTCCCAATGCGATGTGTGGCCCAGGGGAGGCGGGTGGGGTGGGTTCGGGATTTAGAGGGGCGGTACGGCTCTCTTGCCTGGCGCATTTATCAACCGGATGACTCGAACAAACGCTCTCCTGATGTGTGTCCCACCTTCCATGGCGAGCCTGACTAATCGTCGAGCGGTTGTGGTGCGGCGCGGAGTAGAGCGTTTTTGTGGCTCCGTTACAAGCATTTTTTTCCGCGGCCGCCGTCCAGCAGTCTGGCCGGGAGGATGGCATACACGATCCGTATCACTCGATATACTGCGGAGCCGCTCGTTCCTTCCTCCGCATGGCAGGCCAGGCCGCCAGCTCATACCGCCAGCTGGCGGGGTGGATCCTCGGGCCAGGGGCTCGCACGCGTCCTCCATCACCCTCCCCCTCCACCCTGACCCGACAACTTTCTAAACTTTCCTAAACGCGCCAGCTCTCACCATAGTTGGCTTCGCTGCAGGACGGCCAGGCTGGGCCGGGCTGGGCTGTGCCGGGCGGGCGGCGGAGAGGGTGTGGGGGAGGCTAATCCCTGACGAGTTCCACCGAGCCGGGCTGATGCGGCGTGGCGCGGCGTGGCGCGGCGTGGCGCGGCGTGGCGCGGCGTGGCAGGTGCGGTGGGACCGCCAGTAGTAGGATGGGCTTCGGTCCCCGCTGGTCCCTGCAGCAGCGGGGCGTAATGAAATTCATAATCTAGCCGCTGTGTGTCGCTGCTGCGCCACGCCCCGCCACGCCACGCCCCGCCACGCCACGCCCCGCCGTCACTGGGCTGTCTGGGTCGCTGTGTTTGTGGATGGAAAGCAGGCTGAGCGGTCTCCACTGTACACTGCCGCGAGACAGCGCGGCGCGCCCGGCATAACCCGCCAAGCCCCGCGTCCTCGGCAGATGAGCGCCCCCCTCCCCCTTCCCAACTCCCCCCGGCCTTCGAAAACAAGATTCCCCCCTCCACTGGCTCCCGCCGTGCGGAAACACAGGCGCGTATCCCTGAGCCAAACTTTTACGAGTTGGTACTATACGCTACGAGTGTTGCCCAGGTTTACCATCGACCGGCGGACTGATTCCGAGTGGGAGGTTTCTCCCTCGCACACATGGGGCCCTCCGCACAGGTGCAAGAGGGACAGACAGACGGGACCCGCCGCTCGGAAGCTGCCTCGAGTCAGCCGATTTTCTCCTCTTGCGACGACGCGGCCATGAGGCGGCCTAGGCCGACGGGAGGGGTACTGCAGCAGCATGCAGGAGCACTATGCAAGTCCAATGCGGCTTTTGCACACCGTGGGCTTGCACGTTGGCCTTCTGCCGCGTCTTCTGACGAGGCAGTGAATCAAGATGGAAATTTTGCGCAGCTGATGTTTGCTTTGCTATATCTCCCTCACCCCCTGCCGCGCACCGCGCTCGCCGCGCTCGCCTCGGAACGGCAGGAGGCAACCCAGCCCACTCACTCCCCGGGGCCCGCGGCCCGGCCGGCGGGGCTGGCTCGGACGGCCCGGAACACCGCGCAGTATTATTCCGCCGTGAAATATGATTTCGCTCCTCACATAATTGCCCGATACACTGCCAGCCGATGCGGCACCGCAGCGCGCGGAGCGCCTGCCCGTTATTGGGCGCGATTCGTTTCTGTCTCGCCGGGTCGCGGGGTCTGCCCCAGTCCGCCCCGCCATGCTCCGCGCGCCGCGGGTCCGCGAGGGGCTTCGAGATAAAGGGCATGCAGTGCGCAATGGCACCCCAGCGGCCCCAAGTCAAGTCGGGACTCCAAGTCCGGCCCTAGTGCGCGGCTGTGGCTGTGTCCACTTGCCCTTGTTTTGCCTGCAGCGCCCCCCGTCCTCCCCGGCCTCGCCATCCTAATGCATGGCAATAGAAAAGTTTGCTCGCGGCGGGAATGGCCTTCTCATTCTCTCCGAGTTGCCAGGATCGCCGAGGTTTTTAAACCCCTGGAGACGCCGCGGGCTGGCCGACGCGCCTCGGCCGTCATTGGACAAGCTGTCCGACGGACGGACGTTCGGCAGCCTGAGGGCTCATTCCGAACACGCTGCCTCTCTTGCACTCAAAGCGCGTCCCGTAGGGGTGCGAGCGAGACAGAGCGACGAGGTTCACGGTTTCGGATCCATTCGGCTGGCCTCGGTGAGGACCTCCGCTGCCCTTGCGGCCCGGAGCGCCCTGGATGGCGCCACGCCTCTGCCCCGCCGCCCCGCGCTGCCCTGCGTCCTCATTGGGCATTCTCGTGATGCGCGCCGTGTTTATGCACAGACCCAAGTGGATTCCCACGTCCGATGGCCGGGCGGGGCGGGGCGGGGCGGGGCGGGGCGGCCGCGCTAAGAAGGGACGCGCCGCAGTGGGTGGCGGTGGTCGATATCCGGGGAAGAAAAGGAGGAAGGGATTTCTTTTCTCCGGGAGAGCGGCGGCGGCGGGGATCCGAAATTGGGATGCGATTGATTGCCATGTGGCGATGGCGGCCATGATGGCGCCCAGGCCAGGCCGGTGGCGGCAGTGCATAGCTCCGGGATGAAAGCACGGCGGTAGCTGAGGCCGGCTGAGGCGCTGGGGTAATATTGGCCGGGCTAAAACGCGAGCCTAATTGCATTTCCTTGCGGCCCTGCAGGGCCTGCACAGCAGCACAGCCTGTTCGTGGAGGAAGTGACTTTCCGATTGGGTTAGCAGGCGGAGGCCCATCCCTGTAACAATGTTGCTGAATTTCGGCAACGCCGGGACGGCCGAGGGCCGGGAGGGCCGGTCGGCCCGGCCAGCGAGCGGCAACTTTGGGGCAGAGATACCATCGGCCAGAAGAGCCGCTGGATTTTGGCTTAGGGTAATCACAGTGGCTAGCTTCAGTCTTTCCGGCTGGGCTGCTCCACTCTCCCCCTTCCCCCCCCCCCCCCTCCCCGCGTGACGTGTGCCGACTGGCCGTCCATAATTCAGCGCTTTTCCGCTGGGCTTCGCAGGCTTCGCAGCAATCTGACACCGCTCTGCTCTTCTCATTCCGGGGCAGCGGAGCGCGGCGGCCAGCACCCCCACACATTCAGTTCGCTTGGAAACAAATTCAATTTTGGGGCAAAAAAAGCGGTCTTTAATTAATGTCAGTGTCCTTTCTGGCGGCCTTTTGCTTTGTTTCCCCCACGAGAAGACGGTGGCGGGGGACAGGGCTGCCTTGATTACGCTCTGATCAATACCCAGACCACGCGCCGCGCACCACTGCCATCCCGGGGAACGCATTCAGCTGTCGGACACATGAGCGAACAATGGCCCGCCCCGCCCGGCGCCGCCCCGAACACTGCTTTTGCCGCGCGGTCTCTCTCGCACCCCTGCGGAACGTCCCACGAGTGCGAGAGGGGCGGACCGATTGTTCGGAATCTCCGCGCGCATGGCGGGCGGGCTGGTAGGCCTGCTGTTTAATAAGGTCCCGGCGTCCTTGGTATCGGCGGGGCTGGCGGGGCGCCTCGTGAAGGATGGAGAAACGTCATGCGCACGTTTGTCCCCGCCTTGACGTTTTGTGCCGCCTCGCCTCGCGGAGCCTCGCGGCCTCGCGGCCCGGCACGGCGCCGTTTGATTGATTTTCGGCAGTAAATCCAATATCGCCCCATGTGCGCCGCGGGACCGGCGGGACTGGCCTCGGCGATGGTGCTCCGTATTTATGGGCGCGCTCAACGGGTGATCCAATGTCCGCACCGTTTAACAAGTCAAAGCGGAGCGGCGGGCGGAGCGCCCTTGCTGCAGTGTGCCGCCGTCCGCCGCCGTCCGGCCCGGAACTTGTCCGGTCGAGGAGCCCTGACGGCGCGACGGCCCCACAAGATTAACAGCAGGCTGTGGCCCCGCGGCCCTGCGCCCCTGGGGCCCTGGCAGACGCGCCCCCGGCAGCCTGGCGCGGTGCCGAGACAGCCCTCGGAGACAGCCAGCCCAACTGAAGCAAAGCCCGAAATAAAAAGCAGCGCAAACGCATCAGTTTTTACGGGTTATGGAAAAGGGTCTGGCTGGGAGGGTCGTAAAGCTTGGCCCGATCGGCGGGAGGCTGGGAGGGGTGTTGGCGGCTCCGCGACGGCCTGGAGGGCCTGGAGGGCCTGGAGGGTGTGTTTGAGCGCCAACTCCGGCGAGTACACAGTCCGACGCACACCTGTTGTCAGCACGTGGGGCTGAATAGGGGTGTCTCATTATTTCGGAGAGGGCGTCACCCTCCGTGGTCAGCAGAGTCCAACTTGCACGCACCCAGAAAGGCTGATGTTTGAATCAAAGAAAAGCCTATGTTTTGAATCGAAATCATTTGTTAACGTGGATCCAACTCTATTCGTGAGTCAATCATTTTTCAAATTCAAGGAGAGCGTTTCTCTGGGTGCGGCGTGGCTTTTGCAGGACATGCGCGGCCTTGGCAGAACCTTTGCAAGGCCTCGCTGCTGGGCGAGGTCCTGGCCGAGGTCCTGGCCGAGGTCCTGGCCGAGGTCCTGGCCGAGGCCCTGGCAGGGTCCGGTAAGTGGCAGCGATTGGCCGACGCAGTGCGGGACCCATTGGGACCGGGCTAGGGCTCCACCTCTCCTGGGACTCTTATCCCCCCGTCCCTTTTCAGAGCCGCCTTGCCCAGCCTGGCCCAGCCTTGCGGCTGCCTCGTACGGATTGGGTCGCCCCTCTATTGCAGAAGGCCCTGTATTGCAGCGGGATTTCTCTGAAAAAAATATAAACACGAAAAAAAGTCCGTCCTCGTAGTCCCCTCCCTTGTTATTGAAGGGTGTATTATATCGTGTTCACTCGTCGATAGCCTCGCACCGGGTGTCGCCTCTTGCTTTTCTCGCTTCTGCTTGTTCTTGTTTGAGTTTCCCCTTTCTCCTGTTGCTTTGCAGCCATCCTAGCGACCCGTGTTGGCGACCTAGTCATGGCAATGTATATGCTTTGCGCAACTAGTAGCCCATTTCATTCTTTTCGAGAGTCTTCCTGTGTGTGAGTGTGACGCCAACTCCCATGTTGCAGACCATGGCTGCCACCAAACGGAACGCTGGACTCACCTCGGCAGTGCCGCGCGCCACGCTCAACGACGAAGAACTCGTAAGTATGGTATGCCAAAGACTCGTGTCACATCAAGTATACCGCTCATACCTTGTGACGGACGTGGGAGTATCTTGTGAATGGGTTGTGCACAGAGAGCGACAGTGAGCCGCAGTACCAGTACCTACCGGTACCTACCAAGAGCCAGGGTCATCGCACTAATCATGCGACCGTGTTTCCGTAACTTGTGATGATTGCTCCGTAGAGGCAGAAAATCACCTCGGATGTCTTAATACAAATTGCAGCTTTTGTACTATGTAGAGGAAAAAAACATTTAGCGCAGCGCGGCGGTCTCCGGGAGACTGAACTTTTTTTTCGCAGCTTTGTCGCTTTTGTCATGTACGAAAACTTCGACGTGGCCCATGCGCGGTGCTAATCTCGGCCGGTGCTTTGCAGAAAATGCACGTGTACAAGAAGACGCTGCAGGCGCTCATCTACCCCATCTCGTCCACCACGCCGCACAACTTCGTGCTCTGGACGGCCACCTCGCCGACGTACTGCTACGAGTGCGAAGGGCTGCTGTGGGGCATCGCGCGCCAGGGCGTCCGCTGCACCGAGTGCGCCGTCAAGTGCCACGAGAAGTGCAAGGACCTGCTCAACGCGGACTGCCTGCAGCGTGAGTACCTCCCCTGGGACTGAGTAGCTGGCTGAGCCAAGTCAACCGAGTAGTCACTTGAATCCGGCAGCGCGATGCGGGGCCGAGGACACTGCGAACCCAACTGCGGACAGGCTGTGGCGTGGGAAGAACTGCCCCACTAGCGCATGCCTGTCCCACACTTGGATTTGCAGTGTGGTGCTGTGTGTTTTCCCGACGGAATGAAGCCAATGCTCACCTCGTCTTTCTTTCCTGGCAGGTGCCGCCGAGAAAAGCTCAAAGCACGGCGCCGAGGACAAGGCCAACTCTATCATTACCGCCATGAAGGAGCGCATGAAGCAGAGGGAGACGGAGAAGCCGGAGATCTTCGAACTCATCAGGTGACGCATCTTGTTTTCCAATTGACCGAACCTTCCGAGTAATGATAAAGGAAATTGCAAAAAAATGAGAGCAGAGACACTGTTTGCTTCAGGAGATTCTGATGGCATACTCTTCATTTCTTGCCTTAATTATCTTTCTTTGATCCGAAACGTGGCGACATGATGCAGCCTAACTAATTTCCTTGCAGAGTTCGCCACAGTGTTCCTATGAATAACATTTCTCGGTTGGCGTCTTTGCGTTCACACCCCGTCAGCTCGACAGCTCTCTGCCTGCCAGTCTGTCCGCCCGCTGTACTCTCTACTTTCAGGAAGTCTGTCGTTCCGCCTCGCTCCGCCTCGCCATTCCTCTCTCTTTCTCTCTTTCTTTTTGTGTACGCCCCGTTTGTCTTTACCGCCCTCTTCCTTTTCGTCTCGCTGCACCTTCCTCGCCTTCTTTTTCTACTTCTCCTTTTCTCGACCTGCCTTGCCTTTACGGACGGAGAAAATTGGCGCCTCTCCTCAGTGAGCTAACACGAGCAGCCCGATGCGTTATTGTTCCTAGTGTTGTTTGCAACACACGTCGACTGCTTTACCGAAGGAGTCCCTGCTGTTGCCCCCTCCCCCGCCTTTCTCTCTCTCTCTCTCTCTCTCTCTCTCTCTCTCTCTCTCTCTCTCTCTCTCTCTCTCTCTCTCTCTCTCTCTCCCCCCCCTCCCTCAATGCATTGCACCATGTCTAACGCTGTGTCGCTGTGCATCAAGGTCCGTGTTCAGCGTCGAGGAGAAGAACCACGTTGGCCACATGCGCGCGGTGAAGCAGTCTGTGCTCGACGGCACGTCCAAGTGGTCCGCCAAAATTGCCATCACAGGTTTGTCCCCTCCTCCCTCGACACCGTAACGCCGCACCGACCGTTCCGGGACGAGCGAGCCCGTGGCCAGACTGCCAGACACCCCACCTCATTTGACTAATAACTCTTCTTTTTTATGTGTGTTTTAAAAAAAATATAAATTACTCTCGTCACTTGTGCGCTTTGGGCGCGTCTGGCCGCGGGCTCGGCGTCCTCGCGGTCCGTGCGGTCTATGCGGCCTTCGGACTAGCCTCTCCCCGGACCCCTCGGACCCCTTGCCGGCTTGCAGTCATCTCTTCCCTCCGTGTCTGCCTCCTGCGTGTTTGTTTGCTCATTTTGTTTTGCAGTGTTTCCGTTGTTATGTTTGTTCTTTTTTCATCTCTCTCTTTCTCTTTCTCCTCTCTTTTTTGGTTGTGTACTCGTGTGTGCTGTCGTTGATTTTTTTGTCATGTGTTTTTGAATGTGGCTTTGTGTGTTTCTTCTGGTATGTCTACAGAAAGACGTTTCAGATGGACCCCGATACTCATATAGATTCCGTGGAACAGGCGGAAGAAATCGTTTTAGAGGGCACCTCGAAATGGTCTTGCAAGATCGCGATCACAGGTACCCACCCGGGCTTGTAAAGTTGTGAAGTCAGCAGATAGCTAGGCGGCCTCCTATCTAGTCTGCCTGAGGCCTGTGGCGGCCAGCGTCTGAGCAGTCCCGCGTAGTTTTAGGGGGTTCTAGGAAGCTAGTTTGTCTTGTCACCGTGGCCGCGGCCGGCACAGCCTCGATCACGTCACCGCTGGCTCTTCTTCCAGATGCACGCGATAGTTTGCGAAACTTGACTTGACGCGGCCACTTAAAGTGCTAGTAGATGAATCAGTGCTAAAGCGAAAACGTGATGTTAATCATTACTCCGACCTGTAGCTGGTCTTACTTAGCTGGCCAATTTAATAATTATTAAAAGCGCAACCAAAATTCATAAAAAGAAAATGGAAAAAAATTGCGTTAGGAGAAAGCTTGTGTACTTTTCTTCTAGAGGAGACTGCAACGCTTGATGGGGGGACGTGAGATAGAGGGACTGCTTGGCAAGGCTTGGCCGACCCACCACGCCGCCATGGCCGCCATGGCCCACACGAACCGCTGCAAGCCTGTCCACTCTGGCCACCGCGTTCCAGACTGTCTAGAGTAGCCTAGTCCGGCGTCCTAGACTCGCCGGAGTAGAACCCGACCAGTGCGTCGGCTAGAACCAAACTACGTCGCAATATGGCTTGGACAGCTGACTCACTATTGATTCGCACGAATATGAATTGCTACACAAATGATATTCCTCCGCTCGGGGAAGAGCACCAGAACTGAGAAAATAACACTCCACCCCGCGCACAGTTTCATCTGGGGGTTCCAATTCCCGGGCAGCCACTCCATTCCCGACCCGTTCCCAGCCGGCAATGCGCGACCCTAAATGGGTCGCGGAGCTCCGCGCCTCGCGACAGGCCGCGGCATTTCCGTTTGCGCACGCGTTCGAGCGCCGGCAGATGCAGCGCCCTCTCCTTCTGCCCCGCGACGCCGCTGTAAGGGCGTGGCTCTGCTGCAGCGCAGCCAGCACAGTCTGACAGTAGACAACGGCAACAAGGGGAAACACACTGTTTGTGCAACTAACTTGTTCTCCTTCCGGTTTTGCATGCCTCTCTCTCTCTGTCTTTCTATCTCTCTCCTTCGCTGTGTGCACTTCCCTGCGAGGCCTCCTGCATGACATGGCTCCCCACACCCTCCCTGTGCAAATAAGCAGCCCATCTCAAGTGATTTCCGGCCGGCCGGCCCGGGATCACCCCCCACCCCCGCGCCGACTAGTGGGAGCCACTGGCGTCCGTCCAAAAGTTTGCTATTTTGTCGTCTTGCGCGGAAAGTTAGTTATTTTCGGCGTTATTGCTTCTCTTGCCAGTCGAGTACAATTAGCATTCCATTTGTATCCCTAATAATGCTGGATTCGTGAAACAGCGCCGTTTTCTAGAGTACCACCGCACCGCTCGGGCTCATCTCCAGTCTCCCCTCTTTCAGACTGGTTCCTTTTTTGCCTCCCCATCCCCCGCCCTCCCCCTCCCGACCGCAGCGCGCCGTGTGGAATGAGGTTAGACGCCTTTGCCACCCTGCATACCTCACTGGAGGGAGGAACCACACCATCAGCACAGCAAGGCAAGGCCAGGCAAGGCCAGGCAAGGCCAGGCAAGGCCAGGCAAGGCACCTGGAGGGCGAAGAGCAGCGCACCGGTATGATGGGCATACGAATGGGGTGCCAGGCAGCGCCCGGCCGATGGCCAAAGTGCTATTAATCAGACCCTCGCCTTCGGCCCCAGCCACGCCCTGCCTGCCCCTCAAACGTGAATGCCCCCTCCTTCTCCCCCCAAGCAAATTAATTTGAACAAGAGGGATCCAATGCGAGATTGTAGACTCGCCGCTGCCGCCTGCTCCCCCGTCACTCGCAGTGCTGCGCGTTGCCGCGCAGTGCAGACAGGGATTGCTCATTCGAAATGCCTCCCGCGCCGTCTGCGGGATGCTTCCGAGCGGAGCATGTCTTGGTCTGTCTCTCTCGCACCCGCGCGGGATGCCCCGTGAGTGCGAGAGAGAGAGGGAGACACCACCCGCTCGGAGTGAGTCTGCCGCGGCAACACTGCCAAGTGCCACCCTCCCTGCCCCCTCCCACCTCCCGACCCGGCCTAGAGGGCTAGAGTGCTCGAGGGCTTTTCACTTTCCTCCTAAAACAACAAATTGTGTTGCATCCCACTGAAGCTGCATCAACGCTGTCAGCCAAACTACAACAAGAACAACACGACCGTAGGCCGCTACTTTTTCCACGCTGCTTTTTGGCGGTATGAGAAATGGCAGTGCGTTTTCCAGTTGGCGTCCCCCTTCCCCTCTAGCCCTCTGACCGCCCGGCCCTCCCGGCCCTCCCGGTGCTGTGCTCGACTGCCTTTTCCTGTTACGGAAGGACCGGGAGAACCGGCAGGGCGGACTGCGGGTCGGCGCGCGCCCGGCCAGGCCAGCCAGCCACCCCCTGACCTCCACACCTTGACACCTCCTCCCCCACTCCTCACTCTGGTGTACACGCATTTGCATGCATGGTGTTATTTCGCTTTGCTTTTCGCCGGCAGCCGTCTCGTCACGCCGCGGCACGGCCCCGCGGGTTGTTTGCCTCCGTCTCAGACTCAATGGGCTCCGCGGGGCTCGGCGTGGCGCGGCGTGGCGCTGCCTGTTAGTTAGCGCGGAGTTCGAACTTGCGGGACCGCGGTCTCCGCACCACGCAGTTCGCAGTCCTACTGCGGCACGAACGGCGCGCGCTTGTTAAAAAACAACATCAACAACAAGAAGTTGAAATGCTGGCAAAGGGCGGCCGCTGTAGTAGTCCAAACCATTTTTCGCAGCTTCACTGGAAATTTGGCTTCGAGGCTTCTGAGTAGCGCTTGTATTATCATGGTAGTAAAAAAAAGCATCACGGAAAATTTTCGAGTTGGTTTGTGCTCGCGCGTACTTATTATTCATCTCGTAATATCCCCGTGTTGTACTATGTACCTCGTTTGTGTGTGCCTCCCTTTCCCTTCGTTACAAAGCACACGCTGTGCATGTCGAAATCTTTTTCGTCTGTCTTCATTCTACCTTTTTTTACCAACTTTTTTTTCTATTTGCCCACGTTGCTCTGTTTTTGTTATTTCCTGTACCCACTCCTTGTGTTCCTCCTGGGACTTTGCTTATCAACATTTTCCCCGCAACGCCCCGTACTTCCGCTCTACTTCTCTTTGAATCTATCGCAGTTTTTCATTTGTTTTTGTTTGTTTTTCGTTCGGAGAAAAAGAGCCGAAGTCCTATCCTTTGTTGTGCCCTACCCGCTTCGAGGCTCCAGTTCGAAATGGTCGGATTTACCCCTGCAAGTTGTTAACGGAAGTGCTGGTGTGCTGAGGGTGTGGTGTTCGGCAGTGATCTGCGCCCAGGGCCTCATCGCCAAGGACAAGAGCGGCACGTCGGACCCCTACGTCACGGTGCAGGTGGGCAAGGTGAAGAAGCGCACCAGGACCATGCCGCAGGAGCTGAACCCCGTCTGGAACGAGAAGTTCTTCTTGTGAGTACCGAGCACCATCTGCGTATTGACGAGATGCAAGGGAGGACTCTATGAAAACTTGCGACCCGACTATCACGTCTAATCGTTGATACAGTTATAAACAGCCCAAATTTAGTACCCTCTCACGTAGCTGTTTTGGCGTGTCGGCACCATGATCCCTCGACCAGCAGAGCGTTCCATGCCCCGTTCGCCCCCGCGGTGGCCGCGTCCACTGTCTTTTCGACCGGTATTCAAACATTCCCCCACCCCACCCTTTTCACAGCCGCGAAGATTTATGCTTCTCTGGCGCGCGAAAGAAAGAAATGGTGTGCCATTGTGATGGGGCGCTGCACGGCACGGCATGGCCCGGCCGCGGGACAGCCCTCGTTACACCCCTTCGGTGTCCGGCCCCGCCCCCACCCGGTAGCTAATCCAGGCATTATTGCCGTCCATCCCCCAGCTGCCCCCAGCCCGCCCAACCCAGCCGCGCTGTTTTTGCCGAGACTGATGAGTATTGTAGCTCATTATTGGCAGTGGCGGGCAGAGCCAGGCAGGGCCAGGCCGCGCCGTTTCCCGTTCCGTTCCTGCAGTCCCTAGCGTTTGGCGCCAAAACTGCGCTCGCTGGCTCGCTGACGTTGGCGAATGGTCGTACCAAAAAAATGCGCCAAAAACCGCTTGCCGCTTGATTTTTTCACTTTTGGCCCCTGTCCACTGCACGTGAAAAAAAGATTTTGTTGCGGTAATCCCGTCCTCGCCTGACGCGTCGCTTCGTCTTGTTGCAGCGAGTGCCACAACTCTTCGGACCGCATCAAGGTGCGCGTCTGGGAAACGGGCTGCGGCAGGCTGAGGCGAGTGGACGACCTCGACAGACCACTGCGGTGAGGAAGCTGGACCGTCGAGCGGAGAGGCCCCCGGCTGGCGGCCAGGCCCGCGCCATGCGGCTGTGTTGCGGGCTGGCCCACCCTCTGCTTGGCAGGCGCTTCAGGGGCGGGCAGGCTGGCCCGCGCCACGTGGCTGTGTTGCGGGCTGGCCGGCAGGCGCTTCAGGGGCGGGTAGGCTGGCCCGCGCCACGTGGCTGTGTTGCGGGCTGGCCCACCCTCCGCTTGGCAGGCGCTTCAGGGGCGGGTAGGCTGGCCCGCGCCACGTGGCTGTGTTGCGGGCTGGCCCACCCTCCGCTTGGCAGGCGCTTCGGGGGGGTAGGCTGCCCCGCCAGTGGTGTGTTGCGGGCTGGCCACCTCCGCTTGGCAGGCGCTTCAGTGGCGGGTAGGCTGACCCGCGCCACGTGGCTGTGTTGCGGGCTGGCCCACCCTCCGCTTGGCAGGCGCTTCAGGGACGGGTAGGCTGACCCGCGCCACGTGGCTGTGTTGCGGGCTGGCCCACCCTCCGCTTGGCAGGCGCTTTCTCCCCTTTGCCGCCGAGACTGACCCCACCCTCCCTCTTTCCAGGTGCGGACGCTCTCCGGCGAGATGGACGTGTGGTACAACCTGGAGAAGCGGACGGACAAGTCGGCCGTGTCGGGAGCCATCCGGCTGCACATCAGCGTGGAGATCAAGGGCGAGGAGAAGGTGGCGCCCTACCACATCCAGTACACGTGCCTGCACGAGAACCTGTTCCACTCGCTTTGCGAGGAGAACGGCGGCGCCGTGGTGTTGCCGCAGGTCAAAGGGGACGAGGCGTGGAAGACGTACTTCGAGCCGTCCGCCCAGGAGATCGTGGATGAGTTCGCGATGCGCTATGGCATAGAGAGCATCTACCAGGCCATGACGTGAGTGGAGTGGATTAAAAACAATTCTTGAGAAATTTGTTTATGAAAATTTTGACAACCTATCGTTTGTTCCCATAGCCACTTCCACTGCCTATCTACCAAGTACCTGTGCCCTGGAGTTCCCGCTGTTATGAGTACACTGCTAGCCAACATCAATGCATACTATGCTCATACGACTGCCTCATCAGCTGTGTCAGCTTCAGATCGGTTTGCTGCTTCCAACTTTGGAGTAAGTGTTTATTGTGTGATTTGGGAGTCATTCTTACAAATGGGACATGTCTCAAACATTACTCTCCTTTTCCATTGTAGAAAGAAAAGTTCGTCAAACTGCTTGATCAGCTACATAACTCACTCCGAATAGACCTATCCATGTATAGAAATAACTTCCCTGCTTCAAGCCAAGAAAAATTAATGGATCTTAAGTCAACTGTTGATCTTCTTACAAGTATAACATTCTTCAGAATGAAGGTAAATATTTTGATTGATATCATCGTTTTATGGCTCTTTTCTTTCTGAAATAACACATTCCTTTTTTTTTTCAAATGAATCTTTAGGTACAGGAATTATCATCACCACCCCGGGCATCTACAGTGGTGAAGGACTGTGTTAAAGCCTGTTTACGCTCCACATATCAGTTTCTGTTTGAAAATTGTTATGAATTGTATAGTCGAGAGTATCAAGTTGACCCTAATGAACCGAAGCATGATGAGCCAGGGCCGCGCCTCGATTCTCTCGACTTTTGGCACAAGATTATAGCATTGATTGTTTCTGTGATTGAAGAGGACAAGAACTCTTATGGACCCGTACTGAACCAATTTCCACAAGAGCTCAATATTGGAGCAGTAAGTTCATCACTTTACCAGTTCAATAAATTTTAGATACATATCTAAACAACCTGACATTCACTGTTTATTTTTAATTCGCAGTTATCAGCATCCACTATGTGGTCTCAATTTGCAATAGATATGAAATATGCTCTTGAGGAGCACGAGCAACATAGACTGTGTAAATCTTCTGCATACATGAATCTTCATTTCAAGGTGAGTTTTAAGAAGTGCACATGACCTTTGGTATTTTTCTGCTTTGTGCATTTGTCTAACAGAGAGGTGTTTTCCCATAGGTTAAATGGATGCACAACAACTATGTGAAAGATGTTCCACCTTATAAAGGAGCTGTTCCTGAATACCCTGCGTGGTTTGAGCCTTTTGTGATGCAATGGCTGAATGAAAATGATGATGTTTCATTAGAATATTTACATGGTGCATTTACCAGAGACAAGAAGGATGGGGTTTGTGTTTCTTATTTTACTCTCAGCAAAATGAATGTAATTGTTCCAGTTTTAAATTAATTAATTTATAATTATTTTTTGCAGTTCCAAAAGAGTAGTGAACATTCCCTATTTTCAAATTCAGTAGTTGACGTGTTTACACAGCTGACTCAGTGTTTCGATGTAGTGTCTAAGCTAGAATGTCCAGATCCTGAAATTTGGAAGCGTTACATGAAGCGGTTTGCAAAGACTATTGTTAAAGTTCTTGTTGCATACACGGACATTGTGAAGAAAGAATTCCCTGTCAATGTGAAAGATGAAAGAGTTGTAAGTGTATTTTAATTATTTTCCATAGTTGTCACAACAGTTTTCATCCAAGCATAGTCTAACTGAACTCTGCCCCTCTTTTTAAAAAAAATTTTCAGGCTTGTATTATGATGAATAATATTCAACAATTAAGAGTCCAATTAGAAAAGATGTTTGAATCCATGGGAGGAGATAAGTTAGAAGAAGATGCAGCCAATATTTTGAAGGAGCTTCAAGCAAATCTGAACAACTGTTTAGATGACTTAGCTGTCCTGTTTGCTGTCAGGTAAGCATCTCTTTTTATTCTGTGTTTTTTTTGTTTTTTTTTTTTTTCATTTTTTATTAAAAAACAAAGCCCATGAGCGTAGGCTCCATCTGGGCACGATACAGTTTATACTATCTCTTACGTACTTGAGATGTGTCCTTACTATACATTTTCCTGCTCTTGCAGCCTTGAAACTAGGATCACACAGAGTGTGAAAGAAGTCGGTGACATCTTGGTTGGCATTAAAGGAGGTGGTCAAATTTCTAGTATGAATCAGCCTCCACCTAGAGGTATGGTGAGTGCAGAGGCAGATGAGGTACTAAGACCGCTCATGGATCTGCTAGATGGTAAGTTGAATTTCTTTTCAACTCTCAGACTGTTATTTTTATCCTTTCTTTAATGTGGTTTCTTTGATTGACAGGCTCACTCTCCTTGTATGCTGAATCATGTGAGAAAACAGTCTTGAAGAGATTATTGAAAGAGCTCTGGAAAATTGTCATACGCATTTTAGAAAAATCTGTTGTATTACCACCAATGACAGACAAGAGTGTAAGTTTTCTAATTTTTTACCTCATAATATTCTGTTAAATTTTATGCACTCGGTTTTTTTAATGCTATCAACAAAAAATTTATGTTAGCGTCACACTACTATTCCTTTGTTTGCTTTCAACAGATGATCCTGAAAAATTTGACTGACAATGCAAAGAATTTAGCCGCTAATGCGAAAATAGAAGACATGTCTAGACTATTCAAAAATCATATGGCTAGTAAACAGGATGTAAAGAATGCTTTAAGTGGTGTTATGGTGAGTTCGTTGGATCAATTCAACATAAAATTTATCATTGACTGCATACAACAGTTTTACTTTAGTAGAAACTAAACTCTTTTTCCCTTGATTTCAGGTTGAGAAAAATCTTTCTCCCAAGCAGTGTGCTGTGCTAGAAGTGGCTCTTGACACAATAAAACAATATTTCCATGCTGGTGGAAATGGCCTCAAGAAAACCTTCTTAGAAAAGAGTCCGGAGCTGCAAAGTTTGAGATATGCTCTTTCGTTGTACACGCAAACCACAGACACACTTATCAAGACTTTTGTCACTACTCAGCAGAATGAAGGTAAGAGAAAAACAAAGGACAATCTTACCATTCAAAATTGTTAGGATTTTTGTTGTTTTTTTTTTTTTTTTTATCTTTAAAAGAGAGCTTGTTCCTGGCAAAGGGAGCAATTCCACCCAACAATCAGTAAAGTTTTCTTCATTGAGTGAGAATGTTTACTCTATAGTGCATCATTTCAATTTTTTTTTAATATTGCACAGTATTTCTCTGCATCTTACCTCTTCAGTTTTTTTATTATTTTTTTAAAGTCCTTTCTGACCTATACAGCATTATGTCTCAAACCTCTGCCTTGCATGTTGTCTTCTTTTCTTTACTTTTCTACTCTTATGTTTATTTTTCTTGTTTCTATCTTTTCTCATGTTCTTTGCCCTTGTCTTCTATTCCATCCTCAAAAGTCCCTCAACCTCTAAACAAAGAGAAATCTTTACGTCAACGCTCAGTCTCGAGTGACCGTGAGCCAGAAGAGGGTGACATGGACGAATATGATGAACCTGTAAGGCCTAGAAAGCCCACTGAATCACAAGCAGGTAAAACCCTCCCATCCAATACATACTCAGCAATGTAAAGCAACAAGTGTAATATAGCTGAAGGTTTCTGCCAGTTAACCAATATGTACTAGATGATGTAAATACAATGTCAGTCAATTATAGACTTTGTTGACTGATTCTCTTTGTAGATGCTATACCTGCTTTTTGAGTAACACTGTATATGTAATCATTATTGGGTTACACTACATTCACTAGTTGGGGCCAAAACTGCATGCTGTGGAAATAAATACTCTTAGGACACTGCTACTTTAATAAGAGCTTGAAGGCTTTAAACTAAACCATAGTAAAATTTTACATACATCACAAAACACCATCAATATTTACTGTGATAGCACAGTTTGATTTTCTACACCAATCCTCACAGACTCCTTATCAACAATCAACAATTTATAATAATTTAGAGATTGACCCAATGTATTTTTACTAGGTGGTGATGGTGAAGCAGTATTTTGAAAATACTTAACAGGCATATTTTTCCTAGGTGAAACATGGCTTTATAGTGTTGTACAAAATCTTAGCTTTCACTCCCATTCCCCTTTGCGCCTTTTTATAAGCCCGCCCTGTGCAAAGTATTCTATTGTATTCTAATGCTGCTCTAATGAAAGTGAATTCCCATTAGCATGTTGAAGGTGTCTCATTTCGTCTCATTTCTGTCATGTTGCTAATTCTTTTGCTCATCTCTTTCTCCTTATATTCAGATAATATGAGCCTAGATGATGGAAGTGTTGGAGAAGTGTCAATTCAAGTTGATCTTTTCACTCATCCTGGCACAGGGGAACACAAAGTAACAACAAAAGGTACAATTAAACGCCCATTTTAAGTTCTGAATGGAATATGTGTTTTATGAAGAAATAAATGATGCATCACTGTATTGTCTTGATTACAGTCGTCGCTGCTAACGACCTAAAGTGGCCAACTGCGACTGGCATGTTTAGACCATTTGTTGAGGTGAATCTCATTGGGCCCCACCTGGCAGATAAGAAGCGCAAACAAGCAACCAAGTCTAAATCAAACAATTGGTCTCCAAAGTTCAATGAGACTTTCCACTTGTAAGTAATGCATTAACAATTCCTGACCCTACAGATGTTTGAAAGAAACTGAAAATTTGGATTCTATATGTATTAAAATGTTTGTGTTTTTAAAAAATATGTATGACTTAATTTTATTTTGCAGCACAATTGGTAATGAGGAGCAACTAGATTACTTCGAGCTACACATATGCGTGAAGGATTACTGCTTTGCGAGGGATGACCGTCTCATAGGTGTGGCTGTTATGCAATTAAAGGATGTAGCGGACCAGGTACGTTCCAAATTTTTTAGCTCAACTATCCATACCTATATATTTATTTAATGCATTGAATTCTATACCCTTATCTTCTTTTCAGGCCTCGTGTGCTCGGTGGCTTTCCCTAGGAAAACGCTGCAATATGGATGAGACTGGGTGGACAATTTTGCGCATTTTATCGCAGAGAAACAATGACGAGGTGGCTAAGGAGTTTGTGAAATTAAAATCTGACATCAGACAAGAAGAACCCATCCCACCTAATGCTTAGTGTATCTGTGTTACTCCTTCTCGTCTTCCAATTTCAACTTTGTGGTTTAAAGCCACTCCTTCTTGCTGCTGGTACAGCAGTTCTGCTGTGTGGCTGACTTATTCTTCTTCCTCACCTTTGAGATGTGACTAACACTATTTGTTTTTGGACATTTTATACCCATTTCAATTGTGACCAACAATACTATTATGTACACAAAGAGTGAAAATGTTTGTCACAATAGTCTTCCATGAGTAAAGCGTCCCTGTACAGTTTTTTTTCCTTTCCTATGTGTGAGTGATTTTAGGAAAGCTTTAATGCATTTTGTGCTCAGCATGGAAGCAAGCCTACAAAAGTCCAGCCCAAAGAGATTTGACACCAAAGTGTTTCCTTAAAAATGTCCCTGAACCAATTTTTTTGTTTGGTGGGGAAATGAGGATGTTTTTGCCTACTTACCGGCTGCTTCCATCCATGCACAGTGTTCAACATCTTTGGATTGTCTCTGTTTGTACTTCCTACTATAGACCCTCTGAATTTGTTTTATTTCTTACAGTTCATCATAAGAAGTATCTTTCCTTTAAAAAAATCTGTGTTATGTAATTAATTGCAGTGATATGACTTCAAATGTATATTTATATATACAAATAATAAAATTGCTGTATATGTATCTATACGGAAAAGAAAAGTATGAAAGAATAAGTGAACTTCTTCCTTCTATCATAGAAAGATTGAAAAATTGTTCAATTCATCATTTCTGTTCATACTGTGTGCAAAAGACTGCTTGAAGGAACATACTGTTATCTTTCATCTTTTGAATTTTATCTTGATTAATTTTTTCGACTTTTTTCTTTGTAGTATTCATCAGTGCATTAGAGTGTTCACTACTTTTTAATTGTTTTAAGCTCTTTCATATCATTCCCTTTCATTCATTTATCTCTCGCATTGTGAAAATCAGTTTAGGGTTGTGATAAACACAGGGAACAGTAGGACTTCACGGGAATTGGAGGCACAAAAATCTCAGATACTCAAAAAGATGTAAACTGTTCTGCAAATGATCCTCCCTTCCATTACATTGATTTGTTGCATATCATTTACATATGAGGTGATACTTTTGTTAGAACTTGATATCCTGGGAGCATTTGCTATCAGTTTCTGAGATCTCGTTGTTATTATTATGTTATTGGTTGGGAAACAACAGCTGGTTGGGGCAGCTTATGGTTTTATAGATAAAACCCTGCCAAAAAGAAGTTGCCTGCCCGAAGATACCGCTAATTTCTAGAGGTCTGGACACTAATAGAGTACAACTTGATCACAGTCGAAACTTCTGCTGACTAGTTGATTTGTTAGCTCACTGCAATACATATTGATTGTCAAACATTCAGATTCATTTTTAGACTTACTTTCTCATCAGAAGTTAATTTGTCACCAAATTTTTGGCTTTCATGTAAATTTTGTCATCATAGTTCAAAATTAGTCAGTTTGTGAAACTGCTGTCATAATTTTTTTAGTTGTAGTTTCATTTGAAATGGAGTTTGAGGACTGCATATTCAAAGCCCCCAATTTATTCTTGCAAATACTGTTGGTTAAGATGTCGCTCGCAGAGGTTGTCCTCTTCTGACAATAAAATGTTCAAATATGAGCCCATTTAATCCTTGATGTTTAAAACTCTATTGATTTCTCTTTTTCTAAATTCTGTCTTTTCTTACCTTCCAATTTTGGTATTCATACCTAGGTACTTGTGATTTAATTGTCAAGCACACTGTAAATATGTCTTCATGTAAAAAAAAAATGTACATACAACATCATTGCAGCTTGAAGTCTTACAAACCTACTTTTAAAAATGTTGAACTAGTGATGGTTTTAGCTTTTTATTTTTAATTAGAAGATGGGCATTTCACCTTGAACATTTTTTCTCTATCATTTCCAACTGAAAATAGCTGTTCACAACTTGTGTCTGTAAACAATTGTCATTTGACGTCATCTTAGTGCCTGTGGTATCACTTCTGGCCATGTCTTTATGTGCCCTAAAATCAATAGGTTTTCAATAGAACTCTTCTGGTCTTTGGATTTGCTTCATGTGTGATGGCCCATTTTGGCTTGAGATGCTTGTGACTTGCATGGATGTGTGCTTCAAGTTTTTGGTCGTAAGTGTAAGTATGTTCATTTCTTACATAATTGGAAACAAGTAAACGACTTATAAGTTAATCAGTTTCGATGGCAATTTGAGCAGACGTGTTGAATAATTGTGATAAAAGTATATAAATTCTTTTGTATAGTTTTGATGTTAATTTTTCATGTTAATTGCAGCAATAATGAAGCACTCCACATGCCATATGAGGTTTGCTTTACTATGCTTTGGAGTGCTTCTGTGTACATGGCGTTTGAGTTTTTGTCCCTCTCAGAATTGATTGTTGAGATCACATCAATTTAATGTTGATTCAATGTATTTCATATTGAGACAATGTTAAATCCACGTCAATGTCACCCTTCATTTCTAATGGGACTGTGAACAGTCTTAGAGTTGTGAGCCAACCTGTTTTACAAGTGCCTTTTGTTATATGCAATGCCTTCTTTCATTGAAACAGAATAGAGGATCATTTGTTGAACAATATTTGAGTGGTGTCTGTAAACTAAGTTTTATTGTTTTTTATGTTGTATTTGTTTTTAAATATTCTGTTTTGTATGGATAAATGGGTGTATATTAAGAGTCCTTGTTTGTACATATGTCTGTATGTATGTCCAAATTGTACATATGTATCCAGAAATCTTTTGACTCATTATTATTGTTGTGCTCTTCACAATGCAGTACCACAAAATGTTACAATATCAAAAATTCATATCTGCTTTAGCTACTTCAGCCAATATAAGATTTGAGTCTTTCATGTAAGATATGTGTGAAGTATTTTTACTTGAACTGTTTGTTAATATTCTGTAAAGCTTCTTGTTTATTTGATATTTGTTTAATGTTATCAAAGGGTTCCAAGATTTTATATGCTCATGTAAGAGCATGCTGTAAGCCTATACACTCGCTTTGCATTTTTGTTCAGCGAACAAATTTTCTCAGCTATAGATAGCAGAGTGATTTTTAATTTTGTATTAAGCAGCCTTTTCTTACTAAACTAGCACACATGTTTTAATTTTTGGTTTATGAACTAGTGCGGTAAAACTACGGCCAAATTTAATTTATAGAAAGGGAACTAATTACAAATTGTTCCTTTCTGAAATGACTTCCTCAGTCTCCAAAATCAAAATGAATGTTTTATAAATAACACTGTCTTTTGTAAAATTGCAACTAGATATCAGATGAAAAAAATTAAATACTCTATGGATTGTGAAAACATAGTATTAACCCATAGATTTAATATCAGCAGGTATTTGTGAGCGAGAGTGGCGACTTTAGCACACAGACTGTGCAGAAACCACACTACTGGCTCTGTATCTGCCTCGCACTGTACTGCTTAATGTCCTCATCATTGTTAAGCGATTGTGTTGACATGTTTGTTTGCTAGTTGAATAAAAATGTTTATATAATTGTTTATTTTCTTTACTTAAAAGTATAGTCATCAGTGGACCGCGCTTATGGGATTGGTCTCTTAGTGTTTCTTCACCCTCTCACCGAAGGGACACGGCCGTAGCCACTAACATGAGAGTCGGGAAGACAAAAGGGGCTGTCCTCCCTCAGCGTTCTTGTAGGGAAGGAACAGTCCAGAAGGACAAACGCATCGACTGCAACTGGGGAGGGGGGAGGGGTGGAGGGCGTTTCACCCTTCATCGTTAGTTCGGAAAAGCCTAAGCGCTGAATTTTTCTTTTTAAAAAAGAAAGAAAAACGGAAGCACAAATGTTGGACCCACGATCAGATTTCTAACACATTTCACTTTCACTGGCGACCCATAAGAACCTGGAGAGAGGAATCGAAGGGTACCGGAAACGGAACTTTGGCCCTATCTGCGAATTCCGTGAATCTCCTGAGCGCTAAATTTTTCATAGTTCCACTCTGCCGCCAGGGCGCAGTCTTTTGTCACGGTTAAATGTCCTCCCCTGTTAAAACTTCAAAACTCTAGATGTAAAGACCAGACAACGCTGCCCGCCGCTTGACAGACATCAGCGCTAGGTAAGTTTACGCGCCATTTTATTCAGACTTGGCGTGGCTTTGTACGAACGCTTCTTAAGATCAATTTGGGTGCCTTTGGAAAGGTAAGCTAGGTTAAAGTTCCTCCAAAGCCTTGTTATGGTCCTGGACGTGTCATTAGCTTCAAAGATTCTCTAAGAGTTCATTGTCATAGATTGATTAACATTCTATCCTGATCTGCCGTTGTGTGGCGTCACCCCTCAGCGGAAGCTGGACCGAACCGAAACGCCACTTGTTTCGTTTGTACTGTGCTTTGTACTTTGGTTGGGATCAGCAGGCCATCAGGCATCATTGCTAGATCAACAGTTTTTTGCCAGCATGAATTACATTTTCCTCTTTTTGTATCTGGTTTTGTGGAGTTGGGATGGTTTGGTTGTCTATCCTAAGCCATACATCACTCAAGAATCTTTGCACTGAGTCAAAAAATGTATTCAATATAAATCAATAGTTGAATTTATGTTTCTCTACAGATTGTAGATTTTAGCAGAGAATCAAAATGCCCCGCAAGAAACCAGCCAACCGCAGAGGGGCAGCCTCCTCATCAATTAATATCGGGGAGGAAGTTCGCATTGCCGTAAAATTGCAGCTTAAGAAATTTTTGGCAGACCCAGCAGCGACAGGTACAGTTTAGCTTCAGTGTTCTAGACTAATTTATTTTGTGATTTTTCCTTCAAATTGGTGTTAAATTGTTACAGAGTGTGAATTCCCATCCTCCCTTTTTGCTGAAGAGCGAGCTTACATTCATAATGTGGCAAAGGAGTATGGTCTGCGTTCTAAGAGCCGAGGGTGAGCTTCCCTTGCCTGTTCATAATTGTTTTCGTCTCAAACTCTGTCAGCACTCAATTGTTTTATTCTTCTTCCCATTGCAGTAAAAATGGTATCAACCGAGCTGTTACAGTTTACAAACGCGAGGGTTCTAGCATTGTTCAAGCCGACCCTGCATTTACTTTAAGCCCCACCTCTCGCCATCTTATAAGAACACTCTTGGTAGAATGTCCTATCACAGCTAAAGAACGTCAAGACTTACTGCCTCAGCTTGAACGTGATAAGGAGAGGGAAATCTCTATGTCTAGTGAAGGTAATGAAATTTAATCGTAACAACATGGAAAAACATAATGCTATCCTACATTCTAAGTTTTTATCATGATTATGTTCTTTTTTTTTATAGTGAAAGAAATTGGTAGAGCTATGGGTAGACTGAGCAGTGGTGTACCACAGGTTCCCAAATCAAACTGCAATCCTGAGGTGCTTCCCTTTAGAAAAGGCCTACCAATATGGAACATGCAGGATGCCATAGTTGAAACAATTTTGACAAACCAAATTGTTTTGATTGCGGGTGAAACAGGGTCTGGCAAAACCACACAGGTAAAGAAAAGCCAATGCCCATTAAACTTGTTGAAATAATTTTTCTTCCCTAGGAATGTCAATGTAAATATTCCATCTTTGCAGGTCCCCCAATTCATTTTGGAGCATTGCCAGAGGACAGGAACAGCTTGTCGCATTGTGTGCACTGAGCCCAGACGAATTTCAGCAGTATCTGTGAGTGAGCGTGTGTCAACTGAGAGAAATGAGTCCCTTGGACAGTCAGTAGGCTACCAGATACGTTTGGAAAGCAGGTACCATCATATCACTATCGATTTTGTATCAACTTATTACTATCACTAGGGTATATTCTGGCAATTGGTTCATAAATTGTTCACAATTTTATTTTCAGAGTCTCCCCTAAGACTGTTTTAACCTATTGCACTAACGGAGTTTTATTGAGGACTCTGATGGGTGGTGATAGTATTTTATCCACTCTTACTCATATCATAGTAGATGAAGTACATGAAAGAGATCGTTTCTCTGATTTTTTGCTCATTTCACTAAGAGATGCTCTTCAAAAGTATAAAGATTTGAGACTTATTTTGATGTCTGCTACATTGGATATTAGTGTTTTTACCAAATATTTCAATAATTGTCCAGTTATTACTGGTGAGTAATTCTTTAAGCTAGTGCTGTATTTCCCCTCTCTCATGCACTGTTAACCATTTTCATCTTATCCCGTTTAATTAGTTCCTGGTCGTCAGTATGAAGTACAAGAATATTTCCTTGAAGATGTTTTAAAACTGTGAGTAGTTTCTTTTAAATTTCCCTTTTGTAATATTAACATATTACTGTTCCTAGTGTCTGCATGTCATACATTTTTTTTTTAAATATTCAGTACTGGGTATTTGAATGGTCACAAACCTCCTAAAAAGAAAGATGTTGATCCAAACCGTAAACCAAGGAAAGAGCTTGAGAAGTGGACTCAAGCTGTTTCAAGTGGTCTGGAGTCCAAGGAAGATGAAACTGAGGACAATGAACCAGCTGTTACATTGTTGTGCGACGAACCGACACCGGAAGTTAATTCATTAGACCCCTTGATGGTGGAGCAATTGGATAAATGCATAGAGGAGGCTTGGCTTCATGGATCAGAAGAAGCTTTCACCCAAATTCTTTATTTTATTCAAACAGAGAATGTGCCAGTTGATTATCAGGTAAGTTAACAGAGAAGACAGTATACTAGCTCCCTTACAAACTTACTTTTAGCAGTTTTATTTTTAAGTTTGCTATTTGAATTTTTGCAGCACTCTGGTACTGGGGCATGTCCGCTTATGCTGGCTGCTGGACGGGGCCAACTTGAAATGACTGAACAGTTTTTGTATCTGGGAGCAAACTTGAATGTTAAAGCTAACAATGGATGGACTGCTCTTGATTGGGCTGTCAACTGCAATAAAACAGCCACGGCTGAGCTCATTCAAAATTACATGTGAGAGTGCAACATTTATCTTGTTATATATCATTTGCATTATTATCTGTTACATTTCTTTACATTTTTTCAGGAAGTTACGTCAATCATCCTCAGAAATGCCTTCTGAAGTACTTCAAACAATATCTCAAGAAATGAGTGATGAGGATAATCAGTTATTAGAAATGTATCATCAATGCTTCAATGATGATGAAGTAGATGTCAAACTATGTCTGGCCCTCATCTACCACTTACATTCCCGTCCAGATAAAGGTAATTGTCTGGCATCGAAATGATATCCCATATACTACTGTAGTTGCATTAATTTCTCCACTTATCAAGGATATATTTTATTTTCATTTTTCTATGTGTTTTCTGTTTCAGGTGCTATTTTAATATTTTTGCCAGGATATGATGTGATTACAACTCTGCGTGATTGCATTAATGATGAAAGAGAGAAGTTCTCTCAAGTGTGCAGATTTTCATTGTACACTCTACATTCAAACATGCAGGTAAACACATGATTGCACAAATCTTGTTTACCTAGTAGATGGTTTATATTGTCTTCATTTGATCATTCTTTTCCTCTGCTAGACAAGTGACCAGAGAAGAGTATTTCAACCAGCGCCAGCTAACACTAGAAAAATCATTCTCTCAACAAATATTGCTGAAACAAGTGTAACCATTGATGACGTTGTGTATGTTATTGATTCGGGGAAAGTTAAAGAGGTATTTACCCTGGAATTTCCATTTTTTAGGACAGCAGTTATTGTCCTTTTTTCCTTGTATAATCATCTTTACCTTTATTTTTTTGCAGAAATCTTTTGATGCTATCTCCGGCGTTAGCTCATTGAGAGATGAATGGATCTCTCAAGCTTGTGCCAGACAACGCAAAGGCCGGGCCGGTAGAACACGCCCTGGGCTTTGCTATCATATGTTTTCCAAAGTACGTTACCGTTCTTTGCAGCAGCATCAGACTCCAGAAATTTTGAGAATGCCCTTGCAAGAGTTATGCCTACATACCAAACTCTTAGCTGCACCTAATACTGCCATTGCTGACTTTCTTTCCAAAGCCATGGAACCACCACCATTTATGGTTACTCGTAATGCAGTTCAACTCTTAAAGGTGTGAGGAGATTTTGTCTCATTACTCACTTTCGTGAAAGCTAGATTGTACAAGGAATCTTTCGATTATTAAACATCTTTTTTTTCTTTCTGTTTTTTAAAAAAGACTATTGATGCCTTGGATCCATGGGAAGACTTGACTGAACTTGGGCATCACCTATTAGATTTGCCAGTGGAACCCCGTCTGGGAAAGATGCTGTTGCATGCTGTTGTTTTGAAGTGTTTGGATCCAGTGCTTACTATTGTATGCACTCTAGCCTACAAGTAAGTTAACTTTTAATATTAATGACATGAAGTAGTAGCAGTAGTCTTTATGGTTCTAACACAGGTCTTTGATTTATTTCAATACTTGCAGGGATCCATTTGTTCTACCAACACAGCCTAGTTTAAGAAATGCTTCCAGAGCCTCTCGCAGGAGCTTTTCTGCAGGATCATTTAGTGATCATATGGCTATGTTGAGAGCTTTCCAGGTGTGTACTTAAATATCTTTCTTTGCTGAATAATAATAATAACCAACATATTTCAGTCCATCATTTGATCTGAAAGCTGTAACAATGTTAAAGTATGACTAAATTTTATGGTTTTAGGCTTGGCAACTGTCTCGTTCAACTGGACGGGAAGCATCATTCTGTCAGAAAAATTTCATTTCCTCAGCAACCATGGAGCAAGTGATGAGCCTCCGTGCTCAGTTGCTTGGTCAGTTGCGTGCTTCAGGTTTTGTTCGGGCCAAAGGAGGGGGAGATATTAGGGACCTGAATAGTCATGCAGAGAATTGGGCTGTTGTGAAAGCTGCTCTCACTGCTGGTTTTTATCCTAATATTGCCCGAGTGGATAGAGCGTACATGCAGCTACGCACTTTGTAAGTTTTCCTTACTTTCCATTTGTAAAGTTGTTGGTATTAGTTCCTTCTTTAATTCACTTCTTTAATTGTTTGTGAATTTAATTGAATTTAGAATGTTTTGTGTGTTTTTTCAGCAAAGAAAGCATGGTTGCTGTGCATCCCTCCTCTACTTTGAGAGATGCTGACATTGGAAAGGTGCCTGATAATCTTCCCACTGATTGGCTTGTATTTGAAGAAATGAGCAGGGCTGGAAAGCTATGTCAAATCCGTATGTGCACTGTAATATCACCCATAACCGTCGCCCTTTTCGCTGGTCCTATGCGTCTCCCATCTGATGCTTTGTCATCAAGTGAAAGTATGACACATCAGCAACAATATTGGAACTGGTTTTCTTTTTATGTGCCTTTGAAAGCTAACAAGTATTCATTTATTTTTAACAAGCTTCAGAGTTGGCAAACCAGTACCAGAGTGATTCTGAATGGGAAGAACAAACTGATGGAAATGATAGCATGCTCAAGCTTGATGAATGGATTAACTTCTGTATAGACGGTGAGGCTGCGCACCTAGCCTTCCAACTACGGCAAAAATGGAATTCCACTTTCCTTCGTAGAATGCGTTGTCCTTCCAAATCTTGGAATCCAGTAAGTTGCAGTAAGAAGTGTCATGAAAATATCACTGTTTAAAATTTGATTTTATTCATTCTGCATGGTTGGATGCTCTCTAAACAACCAATTTTCTTTCAGGCAGATGATGCTGTTATACAAGCAGTTGTTCAGATTCTTTCTTCAGAAGAAAAGCAGTTAGGCTTACAGCAACCTGAAGGAATCGGTCAGCGTCCAAGGCCTGTGAACATTGACTTCCACACATCTGGTTGGTTCCAGCTTTTTACTGTTGGTCTTGTTTAGCTTCAGTTTAGCTTTCTTCTCCTTACATTTTTGCCATTGTGTTATTTTTTGCAGCCAGAAACAAACATCATGACGTAAATGACACTGATTCTGTGTCTTCAGAAAACTCAAACCACAGCCAACGTGTTTTTCACAATTCAAGTAGATTTGGCAAGAAAATGAGTTCTGAGAGTGGTATGTATTATTGGGTGTGGAAGTAACCAATCCCATCAAGTTTGTTATGAGTTAATTGCACACAAACTTAATAATTCTCATTTTTCTCAGGCTGCAGCTCAATTTCTCCAGATGACAGTGCTTTTCTTTCCAACTACTCTTCTCCTTCCACTGGTGTGTAAAATACTTGAGGTGCAATTTCATAACATTATAGGGATGTTACCTAATTTTTTCTGTTTCTTACAGGAGTAAAGTACTTTGTGATAAAAGCAGGTACCCCTAAAGCGGTTGAGACTTCTCGTCGTCGTAATTTGTGGGCATTCACACCCGGTACAGAAAGAAAGGTTTTAACTGGTTTACAGGTATGTAAATTCTTGATGTAAAATAAAAGTGCAATGCCATTTATTCAAAGTTTTTAAAGGTTATAATAATAATTTCTTAACTAATTTTATTACAGGAAGGAAACATTGTGATGCTAATTTTCAGTATGCAAGGCAGTGGAAGTTTTCAAGGTGTAGCCAGTTTAGTTGGAAGCCATCCCAGTGACAGTGACACTTGCTCTGATCTTGCTGGTCCTAATCTTGGTTCTCCACTCCCCATTAAATGGCTCAAGTATGGAGATATTCCATTCCAAGCCACTCGCCACCTAATGAATCCATACAATGATGGTCGCAATGTGCAGACAAGTCGTGACGGACAGGTAAACAAACTTAAATCCTTTCTGTTTCCTATATTCTTCTGACCAAAGTAATGCTGTAATTTCTGATGTTGTGTTCACAGGAGCTGGAACCCAATGTTGCCCTTCATCTTTGCAGCTTGTGGGATAGGAACACCCATTCAAACCAGTTTTATCATAATGCCCAGAGTCAGAGTAACCAACAATCTCACTCTCAAGGTGGTCGGAGACCTATTCGAGGCAATGCCCAAAATAGGCACACTTCTACCCACGAATCAGGACGAAATAATGGAGCTCAGAATGGCTTTGGACGCCATCATCAAAGTTTCTTCAAGTAGCAAGTAACTAGTAGACATAAATTTGTTCTCTGATTAGGATAGTCCCACAGTAGCTATTAGGTCACATTTCAGAATTCATCCAGTAATTTTGCAAACTTTGTTGCTATTGTATTAGAATTACAAACTAATTCAGGAATTTTGAAAGCTTATCTTCAGAGGACCATTTACTTTTCTTTTTTCTTTTTTCTATTTATGTTTTGGTTATTAATAACAAATGCAACCAGATGACAATTTATTTGTTTACTGCTATTCATGGTCTATTGCCTCGCAGGCTCTGTTTCCCTACTGATGTTCTCTTACATGTGAGCTTCATCGCTTACAGGTAGAAATTAAAAATACGGTTCATGATTAATTTACCAAGTGAATGAGGAAGATAGGTATTTAGACCATCAAAGATTCTTAGCTTAATTTGTAAGCTTTATGTTAAGTTTTTTTTTTTTAATAATTATTATCTTGTTTTCTTACATGTATGTAATTAATTTATGTATGTTGACTCATCATGACTGAAGTGCCAGAATGGGATCCTCAATAAGTGAGATCACCTATTGGAGTTGCTAGATCTAAGTTATAGACTTTCAAACCATCTGGAATGCAAAGGTTTCTTTGCCACTGCTTTCCTCTTTGTATTACGGTTTTTAATATTGCCAAGCTGGATGATTTTCATCACACATACAGTCTATGATACTCCTACATGTGTAAGACTTATTCAGTCTTGCAGGCGTTTAAGTTTTTACCCACTCTCACTGCCCATGACTTTGACTTCAGACATTTCTGTTGGTAAAATGCTTGTTGGATTATGATGCTGTCTTGTTATTGGACTGATAGATACTAATTGGCATTATGCTGCATGGGGTTCTGACGTTCCTAATATTTTATGATTAATTATGATTCTATGAAGTACAGTTCTTTTAAAAGTTTTCATTTTAATAATGATAATTTCTATTTCAAATTGACCTGGATCCTTTTCTTGTACTTCTGTAATAGTGCTTGACATAATAGGTTAAGAAATTTTTAAAATCTTGTACCTGAAGATCTGTTTCAGAGCGCAATGTTAGCTTGCTGCATACTTGTAGCCAATTTCCTCTCTTTGACATGAGCTGTGTATGATTTTAAGTCAGTATTTACCTCCTGCCAATGAAATAATTTAACTCCGACCAAAAGCTTAGCTTCCTAAGCGCATTTATGATGTTTTCAATGTCAAGCATGTGCTGTTTGAAACAATACATGAAATTGGCCTGTGTTATTAACCATGTTCACATTTATATGTTTAAGTGCTATTTGATTTGTTGTTTGTGCAATCTCTTACATGTGATACACATCTCTTATCTATGTCTTGAAATGTGATATTAAGAGTTAATAATGTTTTGTGGTGTTTCATTGTTAATTACATTTGCATTCTCAAGCCAATTAATGTAATTGTACCTAATACACCTGTGTTTTTAATTATATTTTGGAAAAAAAATGAATTTTTTCATTCCTATCCTCAATGGTGAAAAGGATTTCAGCGGCATAAACACATAGCAGTCATTGGAGGACAAGTCACAAATTTTAATATCTAAGAAGAAACACAGCCCGAGACACGCGGTCGTCGGGTGCGTATTGTGTCGGGCCGGGCGAATTCATCGAGACAGGCCAAAGACCAGAAAAACAAGAGAAAACAAAGAACAGAATAAAACAAAGACGCAAGCAATATATTGGAATTGGTCGGAGATGTGTTGCGTCCTGCCCCCTTACGTCACCCCCGTACCACCCTCCCCCTCCCCTCGCGGTCCTCGCGGCAGGACGGGGCAGCGCCCGTATATTCATTCCCTGGCAAAGCTATGCCGCGGTGTCGTCGCTCTGTCTCTCTCACACTCGTGGGGCATGCCGTGTCGGTGCGAGAGAGACAGCGACGATGCGCCGCTTGTCGGAATGACTAGTCTGCTCTGGCGGCGCGTGGCGTCGCGGAGAAGCAGCTGGGCACGATGTAGAATCGTGAGCTGGGCTAAGGCTCGGTGCTGCCTTCTGCTTGCTGCCTTGCTGCCCCCACCGAGACTCTAGGCCAGCCGAAGGCCAGCGGGGCCGGTCTAGAGCTGTATGGCGTCCCAATCTGAGGACTTCATTCATATTCCATGAGGCCGGCCGCGCCCACGGCACGACACCGCTCGCACCAGCGTGGTGCGACCGTGGTGCCACCACGCCCCCGCAATGATGACCACCTGCCCAAACGAGTGTCCGACAGTCCGACGACTCGAGGCACAGTCGAGGCGGGGAGCCCGAGTCAGGTTCAAATAGCGCGGCCGGACTGGTGTCTATTTTCCGAGTCTGCTATTCGCAGTGATGACACGACCGTACTGGACCGGGGACCGGGCCGAAAGAAAGGCTATCGGCCTCCGCGTCGCAGCCTAGCTGCGGCGGCCGGGGCCCGCGCAAGGCGGGGGAAGGCCCAAGGGCAAGGCTTCACCTGCGTCCGAGTGATTCAGAAGAGCCTTGTGTCGTCCTGCCTCACTCGTACCCTTGCGGAGTGCCCCTTGAGCGAAAGTGCGATGGAGACAGCCACGAAATGACTCCCCTGAATCGCTCGGTGGGGCTTGGGGCTTGCTGATGTATACAGGTCGCACGGGCTGAATAAGGGATAAGAGCGGCCACTTCAATGCAATTATTAGTGGGCCGGGGCGTGGCAGGTGGCGGGGGTGTTGGTCCTGCGGCTTCTGCGGTGCGGTGCAACCTCAGCAGGGCGTGGCGCGGCGCTCTTCAAAGACATCCTCACCTAGGCTGACCAGGGGCGCTCGTTCTCTCGGTGTCACCGAGTCGGTGATGAAGGCGCGGGCCCCGCCCTGAGGGAGGTCCCGCTGCCCCTTGCGCTGCCCGCTGGGCCAGCTGACCTGAGGACCGGGCCGCCCCTCGAGGCCGTGTCCCACGCCTACTCTGCCTGCCCTGCCGCACACCGAGAATCGTAGAGTGCCCCCGCTTCTGTGGACTTTGGGCCGAGCCGGGCTGAGCCGAGCCGAGCCACTTCGAGTACAATTTCACGGCACAGTTAATGTCCCCAGACACGAGGATCTCTGAGACCACCACCGTAGTCCCGAGGTCGGAGGCCGGGCGCGACGTATACTAGGATCGCTGTGAGACAGGGGGCAGAGAGAGAGAGAGAGAGAGAGAGAGGAGAGAGAGAGAGAGAGAGAGAGAGAGAGAGAGAGAGAGAGAGAGAGAGAGAGAGAGAGAGAGAGAGAGCGCAGAAAGAGCGAACGGCTGTAGGTCCAAGGCCTCCACAAGCTGCAGTGCGCGGACGCCGGCGGACGCTCCAACCTGCGTGTATGTAGCGTGTGTGCTGGCCGTCTCCATAAAAGCCGGCTTGACCGCGTCCCCGCGGGGGGTCGTCCCATCCCCGTCGTCCGTGGTCTGGAACTGCCCCCGCCCGCTAGTGCTATGGTGTCAGCCCGCGATATCCCCGTGTAGTGTCCGGGGCGGGCGGGGCTGGCAGCCGCATGCCCTGCCGAGTATTAGCCACGAAATGCGCTGTGAACTGCGGCGTGGCGGCTTGGCGGCCGCAGAGCAGCGCAGTGCCAGATTGAAACTTACTGCTTGTAATACCCGGGCCGAGGCTAACGGCAGTAACGCCCACGATAGCGCCCAGCACGCCGAGGACGCCTGCAGGCCGGCCCGGCCGCACCGTGTGTACCTTGCCCTTGCGCCTACCGCCGTCCGCGTCCACCGAGCGGGACCCCAAAAGTTGAACGAGTTGGGACAAGTTCATCAAGTGCGGGAGCGGAAAGGGATTGGAGACTCGCGGCGGCCATCGAGGAGGGGGAGGGGGAGGGGGACTCGGACTCGTCATCGTCCAGTAAGAAGGAAAGCCGCGGAAAGTTTGCGGCGGCGCGGTGCAGCGCCCTCGATCTGGGTCCCCGCGGCGGGGGAGGCAGGGCGGGGCGGGGCGGGGCGGGGCGGGGCGGGGCAAGAGTAGGTACTCTACGGGGAGCCCCCGCCTCGCCACGCCGGGAACGGCGCCGGGATTTCGGGCCCAGACAGTTTTACGCAACCTTGCCGCAGACGCAGGGGCCTTGCCGCAGGTTCCATCGCCGGCAAGTGGTGTGGCAGTGTTCGGTGTTGACGGCACTGGGCTGCGCTAGCTGCGCAAGGCTCTGGAGCTGGCTCACTGTGGTATACCACCGGGTGCGCGTCGCCACCGCGACTAGAACTATTCCTCCTGAAAGGTGGAAAGGGTTCCAGCGGCGTAAATCCGTTTACCTGCCGCAGGAGCGGCAACTTCCGCTACACTTTTTTTTGTCGGTTTTTCATCTTTTTTTCCTTTTTCTTCTTGTACGTGTGTGCCGTGTGGAGCTGATAACAGGTCGGCCCGCTGCCGCGGCGGAGCGGCACGGCCGGGGCGGGGTGGGCGGGGTGGGCGGGGTGGGCGGGGCACCTGTGGAGCGTGCGTCTGTTTGGCCCGCTAAGTGCTGCCGTGCCAGGCCGTGGCGGGGCCGTGGCTGGCTGCCGTGCTGGCCATCCCGACGGCGCTTCGCAAACCACCGCGCCGATATGGCGGCCGCCGGACCGCGAGGTCCACGTCGACGCCGCCGTCGCCACACAGCGGCTGTGGCTGGGCTGGGCTGGGCCGCCGACGGCATGGCGTGGTGGGGCGAGGTGGGGAGCGGCGCCGCGCAGGGGCCCGGGCCTGCCAGCCTGAGCCATGGCGGGGACATGGTGGGGCCGCGGGCTGCTGCTGGGGCTCCTGGCGGCTCAGCACGCCCTCGGCCAGGCTCCGGACGGGGTCGCCGACGAGGAGGCGGTGACCAAGGGCAGGCCGAGCCTCAAGGCAGCCGCCAACGCTTCTGCGCCAGGTCAGTGGTGGAAGCCAGTCACCCCCTCCCCCCAACTCCATTTTCTGCCTCCTAAATCCCGTCGCCCATTGCAACCCTCCCCCTTCCCCACCGCTGCACTTATGTCACGCTGCTCCTGTCCCTGTCCTTGCCGCCCCGCTCCAGCCGCCACGCCCTGCCGAGCAGGGCTTGCAAGGAAACTCGTTACAAAGTTTCCTTGTTTTCGCATCAAGTGCCTCCAGTCCGCACACGAAGACACATCCACTTTCTCTCCGCAGCACCCGCACATGTGCCTGCCGGGTAAACTCAACCGTTTGCACCAACGAGCTTTTCATTTCCACTACGATTTGCCGGAGTTAGTTTCGGTCGTACCTCCCCTCCCCGCTATCGCGTTGCCACTCGCGCAGGTACTGGTGTGCGTGCACTGGAAGCTTCACGCGAACGTCCCCGGCGCTGACTTTTAGCATAGTTCGGGGGAAAGAAGACGCGTTTCAAACAACAACGGAAACTGGATTCAAGTGACATCCGGCACTTGGCCGCGGCACTTGGGCGCGCTGCCGCCGGGCCCGGCCCTCGGCCCGGCCGGCCTGGCGTCTCTTTATTTCCCTAGCTCTCGTACCCGCTGCGCCACTGGCGTGACCTTCACCTTGGGGAGGCACTACTTGGCCTCCTCTGCGTCCCTTCCGTCCCTTCCGTTTGCCGTGTCCCCGCGAGAGATAAAGTAGCCGAGCCCCGGCAGGCCGGGCGCAGCGCGCAGCGCGCGGCCGTGGCACAGCATTGTGTAAAACTCCCCGAGCACCTGAGGGAACGGCGCGGCGCGGCCCGGCGAGGCGAGGCTGCGGGGCGAGCTGGCGCACTGTGGATTTACCGGCGCAACGGTCAGGGACGCCATGACGCACTCCACGCTCCACGCTCCACGCCCCTCGGCCGAGGTGCGTTTCATTAGGGAGCGGCAACGGAGGGACAAGATTTTATGCGAATGACGAGGTCTCCTCTTTTGAAAGAATTCGGTGAGTGTATGGACGGGCGAGCGAGGCGCGGGTACTGCAGCTCGAACCGACGGGCGGGCCGTACACCTGGTGCCAGTTACGACCAACGATTCGTTATGCAAACGGATCGTACGACGGCAGGGCCAAGGCAGGGTGGGGGCGGGGAGCACAAGAACCAGTTGGCGTAGGGCGCGGCCCTCGTGGGGACGGCGCAGTAAACCCAGCAGAGCCGGGCCTACTTCATGGAGGCTAGGTTGTACACTGTGCCACGCCGCGGCGCCGCCGCGCCGCGACCTCCCCAGCAAGGCCTCGCTTTTTGTTGTGCGTTGTGCTGCGTCACCGGGCCGCGTTAGCCTACCGCCGCCCTTAGCGTGCCTAGCGCTGACGTCTTGCTGTTGTAGAGGGTCGCTGCTCCTCCGGTGACGACGGCAGGGACTGCCCCCTGGAAGGCCCCAGCACTCCGTAAGTGACGCGACGCGCCTCGCGGCTGGATTTCGCTCTCGCCGAGACTGACTGTCTGACCAACAGGTTCTCCGACCTGGGGGAGCACGTCGGCCGCGGGCACGTCCACGACGACGGCAGCAGCGAGTCCGGCTTCCTGTACGCGCGGTCCCTGTCGCTGTCCGTGGACGCGGAGGACGCGGGCGCGCCGGCCTCCACCACGCCGGTCGCCACCACCTCGCCGGCCAGTCCCAGCGCCGTGGCGCGCGGCCGCACGCTGAGAAACCGCGTGTTGGGCCAGTCGTGGTGCTCGGCCGGCCAGTGCCCCGTGTCCGCCGCGCTCACGCTGTCCAACACCACGGCTAGACTCAACGGCCGGTGGGTCCACTGCTGTCCAGACCACTGCGAGCACGCGCGAAGAAACCGCACCAAATGTTTTTACATTGCAGGAAGGTCGGGCAGGGCGAGGCCGTGGTGGCCTGCCTGGACTGCACCTTCAGCGCGGCCTCCGTGTCCATTGTCGACGGCGAGGCCGTGTGCGCGTCGGCCAGCTCCACCAGCCTCCCGCGGGGCGTCTGCGCGGCCGTCTGCCAGTCAGTAGTCGCACACTGCCCCCGCGGCGCGGCCTCGGACACCGCTTTCACCTTCCCGTTGTGCCGCAGGGTGGACGGCGTGGACTGCGTCTGCTCGGCGGGCTGCTCGGGCGGCGAGCCGGCGGCCGACTCGATGCATTCGTACACGTACCAAGTGACGGCCGCCACCAGCGTCCGCGACCTGCTCGCCTACCTCCACCGGCTCATGGTGCGCGTCCACAGCGCGGCCGAGCACCTCAACCTCTCCGTGCAGCTGGACGTGCCGGCGCGGTCGCGCCTCGTGCGCGCCAACATCGAGAAGCGCTTCGGCAAGGAGAAGGCCAAGGCCGTGCCGCTCGTCTTCCCCGGCGGCGCTGGCAACTCCATGCCCATGGCCGCGTAGCGCCGCCTACCGCCGCCGCCGTTTAACAAGAACTTTTCACTTTATCTCATTGCATATCGTACTTTCGTGTCTGCTGGAACTGCCTTCCGCGAACACGGCGAGGCGGTGCCCGCGGAGGCAAGCCTCGGAGCTGCCTCAATTGTGCAGTCCTGTTGATGATCCTCCCGCCCTCGCTGGTGGCGCGGCGTGGCTCGGCGGCGCCGCAGGGCGGGGGTGGAAGGCGGAACTAGTTTTCCCCATGACGGCGTGCTCATGCGCCGCGCCTGGCTCCGAGCCCGGGCCGAGTGCATCCGGGCCGAGGATGTATACACCACCACCGATCGGTGCGCGCGGTCTACTTCCTCTGGGCTGATTCCGAGCCGGAGTTACCGTCGGCCTGTCTCTCTCGCACCGGCACAGCACGCCCAGTGAGAGTGAGAGAGAGGGCGGTCTGCTGCTTCGGCAGTGCAGATCGCTAATTGGGACAGGTGGGCGTCGCGTTCGCGTCGAGGCGTGCCGAAAGCCCCGTGACTCCGTGACGCGCAGCGCGCACTGCCGCCGGAAAGGCGAGGCCGGAGGGCGGATCGCGGAGGCCGGATCGCGGAGGCCGGGTCGCGGAGGCCGGGTCGCGGAGGCCGGATCGCGGAGGCCGGATCGCAGCGCGAGGTGCGACGCGCGACGCGCTAGAGTGTGTGGGCGGCGAAGGAGGCGGGGAGGGGGGCTTCTCGTCGCCACAAAGTGCTGACCGGGTGACAGGCGCCCCTGCGTCGGCTCCAGCCACTACGGCTCCGGTTCGACGCCAAGGCACGCCACGGCACGCCACGGCACGCTACGGCACGCCAAAGCAGAGGGGACGCGGCCCACACTGCAAACGCATCAATCTGCCCGGACGGGCAAGCGTGCCTGCAGACGAGAGGGTAGGCAACATCTTTTATACCGGTGTCGCCAAGACTCGGGCGTTGCCTACCCCGCTGGCGCTAATTTTGACCGCCACGCCGTCGGTAGGGCGAAACCCGGGCGAGGCGCTTTGCATTTTGACTGCAGGCCAGAGTCGTCTACTGAGGCTTGTCGGCGAGCACACGGTAAAAACGCGTCCTGGAAAAAAGCCGAAGAGCTTCAAGGTTCTACGGAGGGCCCGTTTCCAGGACGGTCCTGGAGGAAATGGCATTACTTCCAGGACGGTCACAGGCGGTCCTCCGCACTGTGTGTGGAGGTGGGAGAAGGGCCCCCCTTTTTTGTTCTTTTTTTTTATTTGTTTTTTATTATGCACAGCTGTACAGCGAAACGCAGCGCGCGGAGCGCGTGGAACTCGTTTCCAGGACTGAGTCTAGACCTTGGACGAGCGGGGCACTATTTTACAAGGTCCGCGGGGCTGGCCACCCGTTTCCAGGACTGTCCTAAAAGTAACGGACGCTTTGGTCCGTTAATTTTAGGACAGTCCTGGAAACGGGTGGTCGGTTCATAAAAACACACTATGTTCCAGGACGGTCCTGGAAGTTATGCCATATCATCCAGGACCGTCCTGGAAACGGGGCCCTCCGTAGAACCTTGAAGCTCTTCGGTCCTGGTTTTCCCAGGACGCGTTTTTACCATGCAGGCGCCGTGGTGTCGCATCGCGGTGCCCTGTGGGCTGTTGTTGAACCTTCGTCATCGCTCTATCTCTCTCGCACTCCTACGGAACCCCCAATGAGTGCGAGAGAGACAGAGCGACGACGTCGCCTTTCGGAAGCTGCCTGCTGGCGGCGTCGGGTTGGCTCGGTGACGCTCGGCGACGATGACGCGGTGACGTGCGGCTTTTGTGGAGTGCTGCGAGGAAATGCAGAGAAAGGGGGCGGGGGCAGGAATCCGTTTACGGCGGAAGCGGTCCCGGAGATGCAGGCAGACTGCATCTACCCGGGTGGAGGCGCCTCGCTGAACCGCCTTGGCACCGCCTCTGCACTCGCCGCCACCACACCTTGCATTTTACGGCGCCTGCGGAGAATCTGCACTTTGATTCCGAACGTCTCTCTCGCACTCATGGCGTATTCCGTCCATGCGTGTGAGAGACAACACGAGACGCTGTGTGGAGTCAGTCTTCTGCACGACGCGAAGTTCAAATCACGCTCAAAACACGCTCATTGACGTTTCGCAGTGTACGCGTCAGTTTTTCATACTTACACCGTTCCGAGATGGAGTTCCGGTTCGAGGTCCGACACTCTAGACACAGGCGCGGTGCCCGCGTGTGCGCGGCTACACTGGAAGCAGTTACGGAAGCGGAACCAACTAGCAGGCCTCGTCAACTTTCGGGCAAACGTGGGCGGGCGCGGCGGGCGGCGAGAGGAGCGGGAGCGGCGCCTGGCGGGGCTGGCGGGGCTGGCGGGGCTGGCGGGGCCTGGCAGGGCGCGCGGGCGTTGGAACAAAACAACGCCAAAACTACGCACACGTAAAGCCAAAGGCAATTAGGGGAAGGGGAGCCTTCATTGGGCTAGTTTCGAATGGCCCCATAAATGGCGGCCCCGAGAGAGAGGAAACTTTTTTTTTATGTACCTCGCTCCCAGATTGGTTCAATCGATCTGTCTCTGTTCGCGAAGTTATCCCCTCCCGCCATATAGTTCCCGCGCTTAATCGTTTCGCAGCCATTTCAATCGAAACGACGGAGCGGGTTGGGGTGGGGTGTTTAGGGTCCCGAAAGGCGCGATGACGTATTGTGAACATCCGCACGCAGACTGACTGACTGCCAACTACCAACTTGCGGGCGCCGCATCACCGCGGGGGCGTGCCTGCCTGCCTGCCTGCCTGCCTGCCTGCCTGCCTGCCTGCCTGCCTGCCTTCGGCATTGCGGGCTGGGGCAGGCCGCCGCTACTGTAACTTCGGCCTAGCACGCGGGATACAGTTTGGATCAGGGGCAGAGTGGGCCCCGGGAAGCTGCAGTAGAACCGGTCGTTGGGGGCGGGGAGAGAGAGAGAGCGGAAAGGGGGGGGGGCGGGTGATTCGCATGCGATATGCCCAACACAACCGCACCGTGGCCGCCCCATCACACAGCCGCACGGCCAGCGAGCGGAACCTCCGACCGTTTAATTCGATTGTACAACAGCTCGGCACTACAGCGGGGCGGGGGCCACGTCCATGGGGCCACGTCCATTGGGCCGGTTGGGGCGCAGCAGGGCGCAGCAGGGGAAAGGGCGCCTGTAACTCGGCGTCAACTGCCGGAGCCGTCACGGCCAAATGCACTTTTATCTGCAGTTGGCCCTCCTGGCGGTTGCCACCATTGGCCGTCGCCAGGGTCGGGTCGCGCTGGAGTTTTGAATTGCGCGCACCAGGTGGCGTGAAAGTTGACAGCTCTCCAGCTCGGTACCGGGTGACCGAGCGGACCGAGCTGACAGCCAGGCGTGCAGAGCTGGCGAGCACGTCGTGTTGTAGCAGACGCGTGTAGCAGAAATGTTCGTTATTGACAGTTTGTCGGAGTGACTGACAGTTGGGTTCCGGCATTCGTAGCGTAGGTTTAATCTGGATCGTCATGATTTTGGGTGAGGCAGAAAAGTTGTTATTCCGGAAAAGATCACCGCGTCGTCGCAGCAGCGTGCCAATTTAGGGCAGCGCCATTCAAATGTAGACGACGGGGGAGCCGGGCGTGGCGGCAGGGTGGGGTGGGGTGAGCAAGGCGGGGCGGGCCGGGGCACCACACACGTGCTCTCCAGTTCAATATCGGCTGGTAATCGAATGGAGACCAAAGCCGTTATCGTACACTACACGGCCTGACAGCAGGAGCGGCGGCAGGGTGGCAGGGCGGCAGCGTGTGGGAGGCTGAGCGAGGGGGAGGGGGAGGCGCCGGCGCTTCCTAATGGAGATCTTCACCTCCGCCGCTATGCCGCTATGCCGTGGTGCAGGAAAGGCGGTCGACCTCTCGTCCCTCGCAGTGCTGCAGCCTGATTCCGAGCAGCGTTTCATCACGCTGTCTGCCTCGAACCACCACGCGGCCCGTGGGACGATCCATGAGTGCCGGAGAGACAGAGCGACGCCGTCGCTGCGCGGAATCACCCCGCTGCTCAGCACGCCGCCGCCGACGCCCCTACATGGCGTGCGTTTCGTCGCCGTCCTCGAGGCCCACACGGCGCGTTGTCACGCGAGCGCGGCGCTGGGGGCGCGTTTATTTGCACGTCCAAATGGGGAGCCATTGTCACCGCGAAACAGACGTGAGCGAGAACAAGGATGGTAGTAAACATTCTATCGAATTCCATTTCCACGCCCCTCCACCCCCACCCCACCGTCGCAGTGGCACGGCGCAAAGGGCCGGGCCGGGCCGGGCCGCCGGGTGTCATAGGTGATTTATTTCGGGGAGGAAATGCCATGGCATAATTTGCTATTCTGGGTCCTCAGCCGAGCCGTACATCACGTCAGATTTCCGGCCACCTGATGGGGGAGTCGGCTCGGCAAAGAAGGAGGAGAAGTAGTGCGTGAGGCTGACTGCCGGAGCCGCGGCGGCGCGGCGGCGGATAGGCCGAGCCGGCGGAGTGTGAAGGTACGCCCACCACGCCCGCCTCGCCCGGGCAGAGTGACCGGGAGAGGGAGAGTCAAGAAAGCGAGAGGCGGCCCGGTGCCAACGCGGGGGAGGGGGAGGGGGAGGGAGGTCAGGGCGTTTGTCTTCCTCGGTGGCGCGTTTGTATCTCATTGTGTGCGAGAGAGGAAAAGTTCCATTCGGCGCGCGGTCCCCTCCGGCTCAGCCCCCTTTTCGGCCTCCTTCGGTTCCCGCAGGTTCGGGCTGGCGAGGCAGGCTGAGACGTGGCGGGGCGGGGCGGGGCGGGGCGGGGCGGGGCGGGACGGGGACGCGGCTCTGAGCGCGATCCAGCGCCCCGCAGCCCTCGCCGCAGCCGCAGATAGTGTCGTCGTGACACCGTGATCCAGAAATGAGGACCGGAAATGGGGGAAGCGCGAAGCGACAAAAAAACCCTCTGAAAGTTGCTCGTTTTCGCGGTCTAGTTCTGCGGCGGGAGTCCATCAACCTGCCAGCCCCAGCGCGCCCGGCGACCGAAGTTACAGCGCGTCCGCACGGCTACTTTGTGGCCCGTGTGTCGTGCTCCACGGCGGC